AGTATTTTGCCCCTTACCACTACTATTGCTTGGCTTTTGAATTGCACCTACCTATAATCTGCTCATCGCACCAAGAAGAGATGTGTGTTAGGAAAGGGGCCAGTGCCCCTTTGGCCCTGCCCCTAGAACCGCTGAGAGGCACCTGGCTGCAGACCTCCACTGTCAGGCTGCTTCCGGTGGAGGCTCCACTGTCAGGACGACCGCCACTGTCAGGACGACCGCCACTGTCAGGACGACCGCCACTGTCAGGACGGGAAATGCACGGGATACATTACAAAATAAAATGGCAAACGTACTTACGGAAAACGGCTTATACTTACGCTTGTAATTGATAGGTTTCAATATAAAATATTCCGTAAAATCTATCAATTATTTCTCTATAGTTCATATGTAGTTGTCATTTAACATAGTTACTGTTGTAATTTTTCAAAATGAATTAACGAATGGCCGGGGTAGGTTTCAACACAAAACGCTAACATACGCTAACATACTTCCGGTCGTCATATTTCTAAATAAAATCCCAAATGCTGTTTCGGTTGAATCGCTCTCCTCACAAACGCATTTATTTTTTAATATTACGTCTTAGATAATGACAGAATATATCAAAATGACCACGTTGTGCAACAGTAAAGGAAAACTTACAACAAAAATGACTAACAAAACTAAGGTTTACTAATTAAATGACAACTATATATGAACTATAGAGAAATAATTGATAGATTTTACGTAATATTAAAAAATAAAAGCGTTTGTGAGGAGAGCGATTCAACTGAAACAGCATTCGGGATTTTATTTAGAAATATGATGACCAGAACAACACATTCTCACACCCAAGGTGTCAAAATATGATGCGTGTGACCAAGCGTCAATATATGACGATTCGGCCTACCCCAGCGCGTCAGCAGACGACGATCAGGGACACGCTGGGTCACGTGGCTCCGCTGGCGTCATTGTTTGACGCGCACGGTCACACGGACATTATTCCACTATTTAACCTTCCCCTCACCCCAATCCTAACCTTCAGGTCCATAAACTGTGACCTTAAGATTAGGATTGGGGTGAGGGGAAGGTCAAGTAGTTCACAAGTAGTTCTAATGTCCATCTCACCACCGGCGTCAGATACCTACGCTCTGGGACGCTACGTCAGCTGTTTCTCCCTGATCGTTGTCTCCTGACGCGCTGGGGCGCACCGAATCGTCATATATAGAGGCTTGGTCACACGCGTCATATTTTAACGCCTTGGGTGTGAGAATGTGTTGACCGGAAGTATGTTAGCGTATGTTAGCGTTTTATGTTGAAACCTACCCCAGCCATTCGTTAATTCATTTTGAAAAATTACAACCGTAAGTATGTTTAATGACAACTACATAAAAACTATAGAGAAATAATTGATAGATTTTATGTAATATTTTATATTTAAACCTATCAATTACAAGCGTAAGTATGTTTGCCGTTTTATTTTGTAATGTATCCCGTGCATTTCCCGTCCTGACAGTGGAGCCTCTACTGGAAGCAGCCTGACGGTGGAGGTCTGCAGCCAGGTCGTTTGAGTGGAGAAAAAAAATCACAAAATAAGATAACCCTCTTTTTTTTCATTTTGAGATTCAATGAAGTATATCAGTCTGGAAAACACTTCAAACCTTAAAGCAGATGGGTTGCAAAAACAAAAGACCCCACCTGGCTCTGATACTTGCTGCTGCGGGCGCTGGCCCACTGATGTTTGGCAGATGTTGGGCGAACAACCACAGTTTTGTCTGTTGGCTCTTAGTTTCTGCTGCGGCAGAACAGTTGGGCTCTGGAACTCAACCTGCCTTGTGTTGACAATCCAGGATGCTGCTTCTGGTGGAAGGGACCGTTCCTGGTTCCCGGCTCATGGAAGCACCTCAGTTGTCAGATTAAATGCAAAAAGCTTCTGTTTTGTTCATCTCTCAAACAGGCTGAGTCACGAAGCCAATTTCCAAAACCCGATGAAATCAAAAGAGGTTTTATCAACATGTTCATGTTGATTTGAATACGTCTGACTTTTTCTCCAAATTATAGGTTTGAAAGTGTGTAATTTTATGCATTTTTACTTTGTTTTCTCCTTTCTTTTGTGTCCTTCTGTCTGCAAAAAATATCGGCTTATTTCTCTCCCTTCGCTCCTAATCTGCACCTTCTCTTCCTCTGGCGGTGTCCGATCAGGACATTCACTCTTAGCTGTAATCTTTTTCTTCAATTTCCACCTCTTCTGTCTAAGTTCAGTCAATTGTCCTTCAACCACAATCGCTTTGTTGTCACAACTTTACATTCAGTCTGGATTTAAATGGAAGGAAAACAACAAAAAGGGATGAAACAACAATTACAGACTGTAACCTTGAAACTTGCAAGAAGGAACACAGCAGCCTGGAAAGCAAGGATGCACGTGCAAAAATGAGTCATTCTGCTAAAAAAAACAGACATTTCTTTTTGTTTTCTTTTCTAAGTTATATTGCACTTTAGTGGCTGTTGTTATTGTGTATTAATTTGATTAAAAACTACTTAGAATTTTAGAAATTTACGTAATAACTAACAGAAAATGTCATCTATTTGAGTCATTCCATCTCCAGCCTATTGAATCATTTTTCTGTGATTTTCTATCATTGAAAACACCCCACGGAGTATTTAACCACTGAAAGCAGTGGCTCACTCACAGGCTAACGCTGCTCTGTTTGTCTTTTGTGCATCAGGTTGGAAGTGAATAAATGCCTTCAAACCAGAAGCATTATGGCTGCTCTTCTACCTCTTACTGTGGATATTTCCCTTTGTCCAAACATTAAAAGCAGTTATTTCCCTCAGCTTTTTCTCCATTTACTGCCATCTTCTCCTATTATACAACTAGTCTGTTTATTAGCCGCCTACTGTTGAACTGATTGGCCATGAAAATAAAACATCTGTTCTCTTGCACTTCGTTGTTACAAAATTAGCAGTTAAACTTATTTTATCAAAGTAAAAAATATATACACATGCATATTAGTTGAACGTACTACACTTTAAGAAATGACATGTTGCATTTACTTAATTTAAGAAAAGACAAGGGACACAGGACATGACACTGCGTCCAAATTAAAAATGTTGGTTCTTCAAACTCCATTCATGACAACAACTGTCTTTGGGGATCATTAAAGTCAAAAGATGTCATGAAAGATTTGTTTGATAAATGAAATGACCATGTGCTGCTCTACATGTTTACTGTGATTGAGCAGCTGTCCAGTGCTGCAGCATTAAATACTTTTAAACAAACTGGCTATAAAAAATACCTTCAAGCGTGAGACCAGTTTTGATGCACCATCTTGTAAATAGCAGAGCCAGCACATTTCGGGGATAAAAAAATATTAAAGGTGCAATGTGTAAGAATTCTTTTTTAAAGTTCTGGTGTTTGTTTTTAAATGTTTAAATGAGTTGGCTCCACGATATCTATTGGATCTGATCCATCCTTATGTTCCCTCAAGGAACCTCCGGTCAGCACAGCAAGGACCGTTGGTTGTTCCTAAACACAGACTACAATCTCAAGGGGGTTGTGCTTTCTCGGTGCTGCGGCCGAGACTCTGGAATGAGCTACCTACATGTGTTAAACAGGCCACCACGCTCGCCAAGTTTAAAAGCAAGCTGAAAACACAATTTTATTCTTTAGCTTTTAACCAAGAAGAGTCTCGTTAACGGATGGCTTAGCACTTTTTTGCTGCCCCACCTAGATTTTATCTACATGTTTTTGTTGGTTTTTAAATGGTTTTATGTGTTTTTATTTTTTATGTTTATTTCTGCTGTGCAGCGCTTTGTTTGGTCCTTGGGCCATGTGCAGGTGCTATATAAATAAAGTCTAGTAGTAGTAGAAGAATGAAGTATGAATGGCATCTTGTGGTTAGATTGGATTACTGCTGTCTATGTTTATGGACAAAAGGTGGCTTTTTCTACAGTTGTTCCGTGAGTTTCATGGCTGTTGACAGTTACGGATCAGTGCCAGAAAAATACATCGTCATATCTAGTGTTAGAAATCCTGGGTGTAGGGAGCACTTACTACACTTATTACGGTAGGTTGTCTCTGGCATAGAGGAAGTAGAGTTGTTTGCCGTCTTGCTATTAGCTTGCAGTTGCATAACAACTCATTAAGGCAAGTAAAATGCCATGTTTGACTCATTATTTACCTCACACATACATTTCACTGTAATATCCAGTTGTTGGCAATTGTTTAGCTTGAGATATTTTTAGAGCTGACTATTTGCTTCTAATTCACTTTTAGCATTGTTAGCTCAACTTTAGCCCATAACCCTAACCCACTTCACCCAATATTAGAGTACAACAAAAACATGTCATGGCTTCTTAATGGTACAAGAAATAACTTCTGGGTCGCTTCTGTTTACTGCCTTCAGTTCTTTAAACAACTTTGGAGATTTTAGCACTTGGTGTTGAACTACGAATGCCGGCACTGAGCTTGGCACAGCAACCTCACAAGAGTGTAAACAGTAACTACATCCATCTTTAGTGTTTTAGAAAGGAGAACAACTGACAAGCCCCCAGCCGACTGAGACGTCAAACTGTTTTGTGATTATTTCACTGTAGATGTCTTACTTATTGCTCTTTAAACCAAAATAATGTGAAGTTTAAAAAGTTGTAAAGATGTCAGCACAGGTTTCCAAAAAACTATAAACAATATAGAATTATATGAATTGTGAGTGTTAGCTGTTACTACAAGGCATTTTCTGATTTCCCAAAGTAGCGTTGCTTTACAAGAGTGACTCACATACAGGAAGCTGTTTGTTAGAGCTGTGAAAGCTGACTTATTGTTGGCAACATCAACCCAGTTCCACTTGTGGTCCATTTTTTTAGTCTGTTTAAGAATAAGTGCAGATATGAAGTAGAAGCCGTATGCTGGCAGTAATATCTTATCACCTGAATGACATCTGCATCCCGCTTTTATTATTCATGCATCGGTTCTCTCTCTCTCTCTCTGTCTGTCTCTCTCTCTCTGTCTCTCTCTCTCTCAGTGGGATTCCGGGGAAGAAGTGTGGAGTCATAATCTTGACTGCTGAGGAACTCAGTAACTGCAGGGTCAGTGCACAGACACACACACACATACACACACACACACACACACACACACACACACACACACACACACACACACACACACACACACTGAAAATTGCCATTGGCATTGTTTTTCATAGCTGCACTGAAACACATCCCCACACATGTAATTAGCCGAATTGCGGAAAGCATGAAACTATCCAATGACCAAACTAGATAATCACTGTATCCAAATCCCTCACCCAACAGCTCCCTTTAAGGTTAAGCATGTTATATTTGGTTTCCTGCACCTCTCCACACTGGGGATAAATTTCCAGCATGAGTTTCCACTGTCAGACACTTTCTTCATCATTCTGACAGTTTCGAGGACACAGCGATATGTTAAAACCAACAAGATAGCAAGATAGTCAGATCCTTCCAGATCCCCCCCCCCCCCCCCCCCACCCCCACCCCCAACCCCAGCGTTATTGTGTGTGTCCAGGTCCTCCAGAGAGCATTATATGAACAGGCTTACCTTAGTTGTGTTTACCATCGCTACACTGGGAGGTTCTGCTCTTAACAAGATCCAAATGCTGTCAGTGGCAGGCGTAGGTTTCCCATGATGCCATCCCTCTGGAGAAATCGACTAATTATTTATCATTCTATCTATTGTTCCTTTTTTCCTTCCGATGTCTGTTGTCCCAGGCATCTCAGCACAGTAGCAGGAAAAACAGCTCCTCATTAACTGCTATAGCCGTTCATACATATGGATGAAGCATTCCCCTCTGCATGCCTGATGTTATTGCGAACATTTCCTAACAAGATTTATTCCCCACTAATAAAATGTATAATTCTACTAAAATCACACACACACACATGGCTCTAACATATTCATGGACCCCCTATTAAAGTGCTCCAGCTGGGGTCATTTGCATCATCATTGTGTAAGGACTTCTTTCAGTGCCAGTTACTCCAATCTCCTCCGACTTTTGAAGTTCCTAACGAGAAGATGTTGTAGGAATGAAATAGCGCCACTATCATTACATTGAAAAGTCCTTGTCTCATTTGGCAGGATATTGCAACAATGCAGTTGTGTGCCAACAAACTGGATAAGAAAGACTTCTTTGGGAAGTCCGACCCTTTCCTGGTTTTCTACCGGAGTAACGAGGATGGAACGTGAGTGTGGCCAGTTCAGTTGGGCTTAAGTGTTCATCTGCACCTCTGATTCTTTTCTAGAGATTTAGATTTTATTCTACATACCTTTCTAAATATGCAAAAGGACAGTTGACAGTAAAAATGTGCTCCAAACTTCTAAAACTGTTAAAAATGCTCAGTTTGTGATTCCCAAATCGGTTTCAGTCCAGGGAGGAGAGCGGCTCTAAGCTAGTATAAGCTAACATTTAGCGTTAGCTTTGGCATTAGCTTTAGCAATGGTCTCGCTTTTCAAGTCTAGACTGAAGACTCACTTTTACGATTTGGCTTTTGGACAACGCTTTCTTTTGTTTTACTGATATTGAGCCACAGTTTATATCGTGTTTTTATTATTCTTATAGTTAATTGATCTTATCTTACAGAATAGTTTTAAAATGGTCGGTTCCTGATTTTTATTATTTGATTTGTTTTGTCCTGTTTGTGTCCAACCTTCTGTAAGGCGCTTTGATCAACTCTCATGCTGTAATTTAAATGTTCTTTATAAATAAAATGATATGGTGTTAGCAACCCAACGACATACACGTTCAGGCTTGTGTAATTTTTTAGGAGATGAAACATCAATCTGACATTTTTTCACCCATTAGAGAAAAAAGAATGGAAACAGTGGAAGAGTTGCACGGCTGTTAGCCAATCAGAGGCGAGAAGTTCGAATATCAATGAGTAAGACTCCAAATCCTGCCATAGAAAAGTGGGCAATCCTGTTCCTCAAGTGACCCACCCAACAAATTTTGGTTGTTTTCCTGCTCCAAAAATCCTGATTTAATTGATAAATGGTAAAGGGCCTGTATGTGATATAGCGCCTTCTAGAGTCCTGGAACCCCTCAAGGTGTTTTACAACACAATCAGTCATTCACCCATTCACACACACATTCACACACTGGTGGGGATGAGCTACAATGTAGCCACAGCTACCCTGGGGCGCACTGACAGAGGCGAGGCTGCCGAGCACTGGTGCCACCGGTCCCGCCGACCACCACCAGCAGGCAATGTGGGTTAAGTGTCTTGCCCAAGGACACAAAGACAGCGACAGACTGAGCGGGGCTCGAACCTGCAACCTTCCGATTACGGGACGAGCACTTAACTCCTGTGCCACCGTCGTGATCACCAAACCATCAAGCTCTGCAGGAGCCTGTTAACGACCTGCTGCTGATTAAAATCTGATGTACTGAGGCAAGGAAACCTTTAGATTTTAGAGAGTCAATCTGCTTTAACACAACTGTTCTACTGCATCTGGACCCAAACACGTATATTTGGTTGAATGAAGCTCAAAAATGAATCTTTAGTGTGAAAACGTGTGTAAAATGTAGTCGTTTCTCCATCTAAACACACCCAATTTTAATAAGTGGGAGATTAGCAGGCCTCTGCAAAACTAATTCTACCACTGAATCACGTGTAGGGACACTTGAGGACCAGGGTTGCCTTCCCCTGATACAGAGGTTTAATTTGGACCGTCATAAAGTTTTTCCTTGCCCCTCACAATTCAAAATCTCTGGAGCATCACATTAATGTTGTTTATGATAGCCTATGACAAATTTAGATGAAGTGGCATGACCATAAGCTCTTAAGCATTAGCATTAATACTACTCATTTAGCATTTTGCCAGCCTGTTAGCTACAAAGTATAATAATACCTTCTTTAGTCTAATATAAAAGTATGTTAATAACAAACTCCAGTTGCATTTTACTGTTGTAGCCTCTATGCAGAATGATAAATCAATCAATCAATCAATTAATCAAAGCTTTATTTATTAAGCACCTTCAGTGACCCTGTCGGGAAGCCCAAGGCGCTGAACATTGTACATAAGAAATGTGAAACACGATGAATAAATCGATAATAAAAGCAATTCAAATAGTGCAAAAAAGGTAAAACATTAAAGTAGAAACAAATGGGTAAAACAAAGGATAAAGAGACCAATGAAAACAAGGAAATAAAGTCAACATAAGAGGGCCAAACTCAAACACGTTCAGGGAACGCCAAGTGGAGGTGGTGGGTTTTTAGGTGACTCTTAAAGACTGGCAGAGATAATAATAATAATGATAATCATCAAACTTATACAGTGCTTGTTTAGGACACTCAAAGACGCTTGCACACACTCTCACATTCACACACCGTTAGTGATGGTAAGCTATGGGGCGGTCTGACAGAGGCGAGGCTGCCATTTGATGCTGGCAGCCCCTCTGACCACCAACAACACAGGCAAGTTGGGTGGTGTCTTGCCCAAGGACACAACAGCAGAATACCCCTGGCGGGAGCTGGAATCGATCCCATGACCCTCCGATCATGGGGCAAACCCGCTTTACCACCTGAGCTACTGCTGTCCGGGACAGCAGACTGATAATGACTTCTAATATCAACTGCTTTCTCATACTTTTGCTGGAGTCGGAGATATGGCATCACTGCCATGTGACTGGATAGTGTTGGTCCTCCTGGGTGAAACAAGGGTGGTTTTCCAAAGCTGAAACTAATATAGCAATTTCCGGTTGTGCATTAAAATCATTCCTAATGGGCTTAACATATGCACAACAGTAATATCATTATAGCTTTATGTTCACAATCCCTAAAATAAGTTGGTGCATTAAGCATTAGATCAACTAATGCAAGGGGGAAAAAAAAGGTAAACATGGCTTGTTTAGCTTTTAGAGGCTGCAGGATTTGGCTATTGCTAAAAATCACTTCAGGCAATTATCCCAGAGTGCCACCATTACTAACCACTAAGCACTGAACCCTCAGCAGAGGCACTGGTTTGAAACTGAAAAAGGAGCGGGGTGGCAATAAACTGAAAAGATGTGTGAGCATACAGAATAGCATGCTGCCATGATACCATTTATCACATCTTCGCTTTTCCAAAAGTCACCTCAGCTGCCTGTGGCCTCAATTCAGCCACGACAATCCAAGAAGAAGAGTTTGACTTTATTCCACAGATGTGCCTCCCTGATGTTTATAACAAAAACAGTTCATCTGTTATCCTCATGTGTCTCCCAGACATACTTAAACAATTACACACAACTTTGAAAGCTTAATGCAGCTTTTTCAAAGGAAGACGGAGGAGCTTGGATTACCTTTGCAGGTTTGATGTGAGTGGTATAAATTCACTTTCCCTTTTGGGGCCTCACAGCTGGTATTTTTCTCTGCAGATTTACCATCTGCCACAAGACAGAGGTGATCAAGAACACGCTGAACCCGGTGTGGCAGTCCTTCACCATCCCTGTACGAGCTCTCTGCAACGGCGACTACGACAGGTCGGGAACTGGATTCAGAAACGTGTTGATAAATTTAATTTTACGCAGATTTTCTCTGATTAAACTGGGAAAGGGAACACTCCCGTGTCAACAAGGTGCAGGTGGCCTTTAAAGTGTGTGACATCACCTGTTACTGGGGCGGTCAGAATAATGCCAGCAGTCGGTCCTGCTGTCCCAGGGACCAGCACTGGTGTTATTGAGACTGACTCAGTTTTAACGCAGCACACATACACAATCAGGCTGCGCCGTGCTCAGTGTTTGCAATGGCCTCATAGTCTTTCACAGATGCTGCATACATGCGTGAAAGATGCACCTCATGGCTGTCTTGTGCTGTTCTCATAACTCTGTCTGGTAAAACAGCAGATTGATAAGCCCCTGCACTGATTTTACCAATCTATTAGACACGTAAAGAGACAATGTGTGGATCTCTGGAAATATCCATCAAAATGGTGTTAAAAATGAATTAAATGATACCTAGTTGTTGAAAAAATTGGTGGCTTTGAAACATGTAACCATAAAAATCTGGTCTAAAATACATGGGAGCGGGTGTAAGTCTCCGGGCGACGCCATTTTAGATGCCTCCTGTGAGGACAAAAACAGTTACTGATTTGTTACAAAACTTTTGCCATTCTTAAACGCCGTTGTTTTCCACGTTTACCTCTTCACCTTTTGCCACACTGTAAAAAAAGATGGCCTCAAAAAGTTGTTTCAAATTTTTTTCGGTTTCACCTAAGTGTCCTTGTTAAAGGGACATTATGGAAGTTTGACAGCCAAAACATGTATAGAAATAATACATTTCTTCTTCATACATTCTCCTGCAATGCCCTGGTCCTGTAGAACGAGCCCTGGCATTTTTACTGTGATTGCCTGTTTTTCTGTAAAATCACAGAAAAAGAGAGATGCTCGGGTCGAGCAGGCTGCTTCATGCACGTTCACGCTCAGGCATCGCCCGTAGCATTTGCTATCAGTAGCTTTAGCAGCAGAGAGAGAGGCAGTGCCACTTTGTCGCTGTTCCTAACGCCTAGTGACAAAGCTAGCTACATTTCTGAGGACCCTTAGCTACTTTCTGTAGAACTTTCTTCTAGATAGTTCCTGCAAATTAGCAACAAAATAGCCATTTCTGAACCGTTCTTTGAACGTTGTTTCAGGTGTCATCAAGGATATAAATGTTACAGATACAATGGACATCACTGGCACTGTGGCTCACCTAGTAAGATGTCGGACTTTCATACAGAAGACCTGGGTTAAATTCTGGATGTGAACATAGTTTATTTAGAGTTTCTTTTTTACATTAATGGTATATTTTTTTACAGTAAGATGCCCAAATTTTTATTTGAGACTCGCCGAATGGCATTGAATCCACAGATAGAAAAGATGTGGGTTCAACTTTCATTTTGGAACAATTTTTCAAGCAAGGGAAGGGAATGATCTGAGCATGCAGGAGGACTGACCCATCATAAACCTTTGTCGGCTGTGCTGAAGAGAAAGGTACAGAACCAAATTATTTAATTAATTAGCTGCGTGTTCTCCTGTCCTCTGGGCCACACACACACACACACACACACACACACACACACACACACACACACACACACACAAGGGGCTGTCTCAACTATTATTTTTGTTAAGGAGTGTGCACGTACAGCATGCACGCCTCCTGCACGAGCCTACTATTGAAGCTGCCGTTACGCTTTTGGCCTGAGGGAGCAATCGCGAGCATAAAAGTTCTAAACTCCATAAAGTCCCTTTAAGTTTTAATTGTTAAACTCAATTTTGTGCGTTTTGTTATTGAAAACTTAAAATTGCTTGTTATTTCAACAAATGATTATATTTTTCTCATTCTCGTGCATTCAGTCAACTTAAAACTGCAATTTATAGATTAAAAAATGACCCCACCCACTGTGAAAGCTGCAGTAGGTGAGGTGCATCGTGGGTAGTCATGTTCTTAGTTATTTTGTTGTAATTTGAGGTGTTTATGCACATTTATTGTGGGTGGTTGTGTTGTTCTTAGTTTTTTGCTTTGTTTAGTGTTCCAAAAGTGGAGTTATTTGTCATGTTGGCACTGAAAGTTAGGAGGGCGGTCGTAGGAATAAGAACGTTGTGCCGTTTCACTCCACTGCACTTCAAGTCGTAGTTCTCCCTAAATGCTCAGGACTCAGCTCCCTGTGTTGTGTATGAGGCGTGAGTTAGCCAGCGTTTTTCAGTGTTGTTGTTAGCTTCCTGCTTCACCGTTGGCCTGTATTGGCATGACAGCTGCCGTTTTGATAACACGAGTTCAAACAATTAATCTATTTGTTCAGTTAACAAAAACTTTTTAAATGAATGGACAACCATACGTGTCTAACTCAAATTTATCAGTTAACATAATGTTGAATAGTGTATATGTTTAACAAGACAAAAATGATTTTTCCACTTTATAATCTAATAAGATTAGTTGTTTTGACTCACAATATAATATTCAAACAAACCATAGTTATTATTTATGATATTTGTACAACTTGACATAAAGAGTTGAAAGAAAGTGTTCATTTAAGTTGACATGACTCAAGTTTTAAGGCAGCTGTAGAACTTTCACTTTTAAGTTATTCTGGCCTACAGTTTATGACAGTGCAGCGATGAAAGGGAGTCTGATGTTCTTGTCATTTTGCTGGAGGTTGTGCTCCCAGGGATTTTTGACCCTAAAGGTCATCAATTGTTAACTCATTCACTGCCAGCCGTTTCCTGATCGCTAACGGCCTTCGCTGCCAGCGTTTCTCACCGTTTTTACTGTTTTTAAGAGTCACAGAACATTACGCGCTAGGATTATGTCGATGCCAAAACAACCAAAACAAAGAGGAGACTCACCTCTTTCATCAGGAAGAATCCATGTGTTTCGAGCGTTATCCGTTCTTTCATAATCTGTTGTTGATTTGTGATCGGCAGACACTTTTCTGGTTTGTGCCTCACTTTTTTTTATAGGAACGGCCCAAAAAGATCTCCTAACACATGGATGGTCTGCTTCCTGATCATGTGGCGTGTGACGTATGCAGATGAAGATCGGCTTCAGGGCTGAGATGTTTTTTCTCTCAGCGCGGGGGCTTGTTCTGATGCTCAAACAGTAAAAAAAAAGCAAATGACGACTTTAGTCATCATTGGTAGTGAACAGTTGGATCTAAAATGACGACTTTAGTCGTCAATGGCAGTGAATGAGTTAAGGTCAAACTCGAACACAAAAATAGCGTTTGTTTGCCGTGATTTTGGTATGTACTGCCCCGTCACTTTAAAGGAGCAATTTGTAAGAATGACACCATGTGGTTAAATGTGGTTACTGCAGTTCATTTTCTTGAGCTAAACATTACTTCCTCACTGTCGTTCCGTGAGTTTCATGGCTGTTGTCAGTTACGAATCAGCACCAGAAAATTCTCGATGACAAGCAAAGATGAGTTATGCACAGTAAGTTGATAAGTAGATAAATGCATTATCATGTCTGGTGCCAACACTCTTGAGTGTTTTAGGGTAAGGAGCACTTACTTCACTTATTATGGTGGTTTATCTTTAGCATTTCAGGAAGGGTGTTGTTTGTCATCTTGTAGTTACAGCTCTGAAAGGCTCATTAAAGGAAGTTAAATGCCACGATTGACTCATTATTCACTTCACACAAACATTTGACTGGGATCTCCAATTGTTGGTATTTGAAAAAGTAGTTTGAGATATTTTTGTTAGCATCTAGCCTGCTTCACCTAACAGAGTTAAACAAAAAGATGCCTTGATGGCTTCTGAGGGGTGAGCTTAGCTGGCTGAGAATTAAATCTGTGTCAGTGTCACCTGCCTTCCGACATGATTTAGACTTTAAACTGTTTTGTGATTATTTCACTGTAGAATTCTTACACATTGCTCCTTTAATCTCACAGAAGTTCACTAAAAACTACTGGAACACCCTTCCAGGACAATGCATTTAGGTTTTCCAACACATGAAAGTAGGTGTACAGAACCTTGATTGGCCTTCACCCCAATTTATGGTGAAGACTGTGATCCAGCCAGTTTTTGTCCAACACCAATGCCTGACCTCCTACACCTTGCGCAAAGCCGTTCCAGACAAGCTAAAGCTTTTGTGTCTGCAAAGGCTTGACCAATCCCATTTTATATCCTACGGATTAAAAATGGGATGTCATTGAAGATTGAATGAGTGTAACGATAGTTGTCCCAATACTGTTGGCAACATACATCATTAGATTGCATTGAGTATGAGAAGTCAGTATATTACCTGCTTTAGATGAAAGCCAGAGCAGTTTCCATAAAGAGATCGACCCCTTCATTCCGCCGGATGCGAACGTGCGAGCTCCCTTTCAACTGGGAGCATTTCTGACGTGAAACAGGAGTGAAAGCTTTCCACAGAGATGATCCTGTGAGGTCACAAAATTACGGGAGAATTTTACCACCACACATGATTTTAGAAGTCCACACACAATAACAAGCAATGAGAAAGACAGCTGCATGTTTCCAAAAAGGTCTGTGGTACATTACCTATGGGGTTTCACAGGAAATGACGTACTTACTGCACATATTCATTTTGAAGGTTTCCGGATGTTTTTCACTGCCTTTATGTTTGACTTACTGTCTGCCTCGATCTAAAATGTGGCATTTGACGTGTTTTAGAAGCGTGGCATGTAAAAAAATAGACTCGAAACATAAACCTTCGCTTCTTGGACGCGTCCAAAAGGGCTAATTGCTAAATGCATAACACGTTTCATGCCACTTTCATGTCAAGAAAAGAGAAAGGGTCATGAACAAAGTTAGCAGGGAATCAAATGAAGGTCTAATCTAAGTAAATTAAGTTCAAGTTGAGTTTTATTGTAATTAAGAGCCATTGTGTAAGGTCCATAGAGCCACGTCTGGCTCCAGAGCTGCAGGTTGCAGACGTCTGACATAACTTATTAAAATGATCCCTTCTAGGATACAGCGACAAACCTTTTACCTAAATGCTTGACTCTATCAGAGACATATCAGGATCAGCGAGTGCACGGTGAAGATGAACATTATTTTATATGTTTCTTGGCAAAGCGTTCCACCTTGTGAGGTTGCACATTTTTAAAGCACGTCAGAAGCAACACGAAGAGCTGAAAGCTTCGTCAAAACAACAAGTTCTAAATTGCAACCATCTTCTGACTGCTAATGCATGCACAGTTAGTCTATTTAATCTGATTCATCTGCATACCCTATTAAGCAGCATGCTTTAAATTCATAATGACAGATTGAAGCCAACATTCTGTCTGAGGACACATCTTTGTAGGCAGAGAACTAGTTTCTTTTCCGACATTAGAAAACGAACCATCTACAACTGGAACAGTAACTCGTGTGTTTTGTCCCACAATACAGTAGAAGCTAATTCACTTTGTCCTCACAGGTGATTCAGAGTTATGAGTCTTTACATGAAGGACTTTGTGCAAACCCAAGTCCCCGCTTAGTATGCTAATGACTTTCAATAAGCTGAAACATTTTAGCCAAATTATGTGCCGTTCATCTCACACAGCTCAACAACATACCTTGTGTCCGACTCTCCACACGGTAATGCATGCAAACGTGGAATATTTTATTCATTACCCTCTCTTACATGTGAAATTGTTCATTCCCACAGGCTGGAAACTAGTTTGAGCGCAGAGTTCAGGTAATAACCTGCACCGACTGCGCCAACAATCCTCTTCAGCCTGATTTATTATTTATTCTGAGAATATGTAATTGTTCCATCTGCTCCCGGCGAGATGGAGGGAAAAGATCGGGTTTTTTTTCCTCTCTCTTTTAAAACAGAACTTGGTGTTCTTTTTATTGACAGAAGATGATGTGGTAAAGAGCTGAGTCACAGAAAACAGTTTCACTCTCTTCCCATTTGTTTATGTTTATTTTTAGGACGGTGAAAGTAGACGTCTATGATTGGGATCGAGATGGAAGGTAAAAAGCCTCGACTGGGCTGATAACCACATTATGATTCAAACCGATACCTCCAAAATGTCAAAAAGAAATTGAATGCCAAGTCTGAACAAATTCTGCAGGTAAAATCTTCTTGACTTTGTCAAAGAGGGTTATTGTAGATGTCTTGGTGTTTCAGCAGCACATCAATTGTAGAGTGTAGAAGATCTGTTGGACCAGAGATGGAAAAGGAAACGTGGATGGACAAAAAATCACAACTATTTCCCTCGGATTATGAAATCTGTTCTCGTCCTCATCTGTGTGGGCGTTTTTATTTCTCTTTTTTTTTGTCTGCAGCCACGACTTCATAGGAGAGTTCACCACCAGCTACAGAGAGCTGTCTCGAGGGCAGAATCAGTTCAATGTCTATGAGGTAACGTATTTCTTATCATCATCAGTCCAGTGTGGCTGATTTTTATTACTCAATCAATCAATCAGAGATGCTTTATTAATCCCAGAGGGAAATTAGAGTTTCAATAAACACAATTCAGAGATCAGAAATACATGGGCAAGACACATGACAAGAATTAGTGACTGTGGTCATTCGCAACCCTGAGTCGTGCTACCTTAATAGAGAAAAGAGGGTTTACATGAGGATTGGTTCAGGTGAAGGGAAAAAAAAGGCACTTCAGAGTTATCCTCCATAGGGAGGGTAACTTTGCTCTGCAAAAAAAAAAAAAACACCTCAGACAGATATGCAACAGACTTCAGACAACACAACATGTGTCCACTAGGTGGGGTGGTGGATTGGGACTATCCCCACTTCAGTTCCTGCAGCCACGATAAGCAGCACATGTCACCTCAGTGTGGATAGGGGGAGGAGCATTCAGGGTTGGAATGTGGCAGTGACCCTGGAACGTTTCAGCGGCCTTCCCGCAGTCCCGCCCAGGCTGGGATAGGAGACAGTGTTGAGTTGCCATAGCGACGGCACATTCCACATATCTTCTGAGGGGGGAGTTTTTGTTGGAGCCCTGCAGACTCAAGGGCGCCAGATTCCGATTAGAAATCGTTTTGGGGCCAGACAGAGATCATTTTCTCTCTGTCTTACAGTTTGTTGGTCCTCAACCTCTCAAAATCCCAATAATTGACATTAAACTATCCCAATTAGTGCTGACGTGTCCACTCTATCCTTGCTGGCATCCATCTTCTGTGCCAATGAATGAATCTTGGCCAAAGGCCCAAGCCTACGATTCATCTTGACAATTATTTGAGTCTGTAAATTCACAGCACGGTGCAATCCATCTCTGAGCTCGGGGATCAGGCCGATATTCGCCAACAGCTCGTTAATTTTCCGGTAAGCCAGGTAGCCTCCTATTCCGATCAGCAGGAAACCTGACACCAACACCACGAATATCCACACATCTTCAGAGTCCTCCACAGACAGCTGGTCTGTCCCGGAGGGGCATCCGGGAGCCCCTTCTTCCATTCTCATAGTTGAAAAAATGTTATCAACCGCGTTGAGTGACCAACTGACAAGATCCATTTTAGTGAATTTCAGTTTCCAGTTTCCAGAAAAAATGCAGAAGCAGCCGTGCATCCAGCTCACACAGACAGACAAAGGACATGAGGATAAGTTATGGAGGAGAGGAGTAGAAAAGTGTCTGCACCCTCCAAGAGCCAGAAGAAGAAGCGTCTTTCAAGCTCTGAAAAGGCTTAAGAAACTCTAAAACGTTCAACAAGTTTTAATATAACAAACCAAACCCAAGGTGAAACCACAAACAAAAGTAGAGCGTTTATTTTTCAGATCTTTCTTTTCCTTCAAAACAAAACGAGCTGAATGATTTCCCAAAGGTTCCGCAAACCGGGATGTTCTATCACAGTCAAATAATCAGGATTTTTGGTTGTTCTTATTTTATTCTTATTGTAACATGATTTTACAGAAGCTATGGACCAAATGTGCCAACACCTTTCCAATGGTACACCTGTCACTGGAGGAAAAGTGAACTCATGTTGTGATGTGGTTCAACGGGTCAAATGACCTCATGAGAGAGGGTCAAAACGTGTCTCCTCCGTCATGATGATTACAAATTGATCAGATTTGTATTTCAATTTGGCTCCAAACAATAAGAAACACCATCCTTCAGAGGATACAGTATCTTCAGACTGAACTGTGTTAACAGTCTTTCCAAAGACACACCGGCGTGTCGGAAAGCATGTCTCCATCATGTTTAGCCCTCCCACTGCCTTCATGGGTGACCCTTGCGAGGAAAATTGACCATTGAGCAGGATTGATGGTTTATCCCTTGAGGTCCACATGGCAGGGGTGAGGTGGTGCTCACTCCTCACCCCTGCCACATGGACCTCAAGGGATAAACCATCAATCCTGCTCAATGGTCAACTTTCCTCGCGGGGTCACCCATGAAGACAGTGGGAGGGTTAATCATAACCCACACATGTTTGGTGATAATACATTCCCATATTCCAAGTGTCAAATCTTCTGGAAAATACTACTATGTGAACTTCGTACCTGTTTCGACATCCAGGCACCAGTAGCAGCTCTCCCCTGACAAAGCTCTTCAGATGAGAACCAAAATATTTTCAAGAAACCAAAGATGTCTTGTTGCCTTCAATCAAACCCCTTGGAAGCTTTAGAGACCCGTTTATTTGTCAGTAATGAACTGGCTTATTATGGATCAAGAGGTGATTTAGCCGAGAAACCGTGGGACTGTGTGGGATATGGTGTACTGATTACAGACATTTCTTCGGCAGACAAGACAAAACATGACCAATGTTCAATAGAGAGGGAAAAAACAAAAGACTGCGAGATCTGCATTAAGTATTTATTAGCTCACTCTCTGGTGGGGAAGCCTTAGAAGTGCATTTATTATGTAACTCCTGTTTGTGTTTTGCATTTCCTGTCAGTATGCATCACCTGTTTTAGTGCTCCTACAACATATTCATGACTGACCAGTTAACTCACATTCATCTAACATTCAGAGCTGTTGTTCCCTTTAAATTCACGTCATTTTGTGCAACTGAGGATGCATCATCTTGTTCTGTTAATTACAAGACGTAGTTAAATGGTACAAATTCCTTTTGTTTTGTTTTTTTCAGCTTTATTTATACAGCACTTAATCCAACAATACATGCAACTCAAAGTGCTTAACAAATTAAAAAGGTCCCACATGCCCACATTCCCTCCCATCCCCAGAATTTTAAAAACTGTCTGACAATAAAAAACCCTTAACAACACTCCTCCTTCAGCACACACACACACACACACACACACACACACACACACACACACACACACACACACACACACACACACACACACACACACACACACACACACACACACGGAAAAAAACATGATGGACTGAGATCAGATGAGCCAGACCAGCTTAGACAAGGATAAGGAAATGCCATCAGGGGAGCCATCCGCCCCGACAGCAGCAGATCCACAGCAGCAGCCAAGGCACCGATATAGGGTGCCCAGGGCAGGGAGGGCCTAGACCCCCACCTCCACCCAGGTACACCTGGAAAGCACCTAGGCTGCCACAGCTGACCACCGCCCCCGGGGCAGAGGGCACCCACAGAGGAAACACTGGAAAAAGGTTAAATTAAGGTTAAAATATAACATCATAAGAGCTAAAATGAGAATTGTAATATAAAAAGTTATATAGATATTAAAATAATGTTGATCATAAATCTATGGTAAAAAAACTGTTTAAAAATGGCACGTATAAAGAAATAATACATAAAATAAATAAATAGATAAATAAATAACCTAATTAATGAATTTATTTATTTAAAAAGTAATAGTAATCAGTCAAAAGCTAAGCTAAAAAGATGGGTCTTGAGCCTGTTTCTGAAAGCATGAACGTTCTCTACGGCCCTGGGGTCCCCTGGCAGCTCATTCCAGAGGCGAGGACCATAATACTGAAAGGGTGCCTCGCTGTGAATATGTGTCCTTTTGGGGTGTATCTGTTTGAAGAACGGCAACATGGTGGCTTTGGGTCATGATGGGTAACGGCATCCCCAATATATATAAAACAAAAACCTTTTAGATTAATACTGACGATTGTTTAACTAAAACAAATGGATGAGTTGGGGGAAAGTCGGCTGGAGGAGAAAGCAGCTTCAGTTGAAGCCAAAGACATGCACGTTGGGTTCATTCACTGCATTGCTGTATCTTCCAGATGAAAGCATTTGCTAAATAAAGAGAAACATAACCACCTCCATTGATCAGGTGCCCAGGTGTCTACCACAACAATCATTTTGTTTTATGCTTGTGAGATATGTTTAACTACCAATCTAGGTAAGGTCCACACAACAGGAAAAGCTATTCTTTTTTACAGTGAGATTTAAAGTAAAATTAGGATATGTTGCAATGAAAGAATAGACTAGAAGGAACAAACAGAATTATTTTAAAGGTTTACTGAAATGTATGTACGTACAACAGTTAGTCATTAAACGTTTGAACTTGTAACTCCATTAAAGCACACAGCTCATTAAGTTCCACTCAGATCACATAAAACACACAAACATGAAAACAGCTGCAAATGAATTAAGAAACAAAAGTCTCTCAATTCTCTCAGCAAAACTTAGTCTGACCTAAAATGCCACTGGGATTAAGCTACATGGATGGGTGGATCTAAAGCTGGATGGATGGATTGATCTATGGATGGATGAGTCAACGATGGATTGATACATGGATGAATGAATGAATATAAGGAAGGAATCAAAAGATGGATGGGGTGGATTTATCTACCTATTGAATGGATGGATGAATGAATCTAGATGAATCAGTAGGTGGATGGACAGATGGATGCTCTGCCCTCCAAACATCAAATAGCTCAGCTCAACGGCCCAGTGGTACGAGTGTTTATGTTTATGTGCTTAGCAGACGCTTTTACCCAAAGCGACTTACAATTATTTTTTAACCTATAGGGCATGTTGTGATCTGTGGGGGAAACTGGAGTACCCGGAGAAAACCCACGCATGCATGGGGAGAACACGCAACTCCACGCAGAAAGGCCACAGATGAGTTTTGAACCTGCGACCTTCGTGTTGCGAGGCAACAGTGCTAACCACTGCGCCACCATGCAGCCCATGGTGTCCATCCTGGGACTGGGAGATCGGGGTTCAAATCCCAGTCCGGTCATACCAAAGACTTTTTAAAAGAAAGGCACTCAATGTCTCCCCGTTGCCTCTACTGCTGTTCCGTACTACTGGCACAGCAGTAGCTCAGGAGGCAGAGCAGGTTGTCCTGTAATCGGCAGGTTGCAGGTTCAGTCCAGACTCTGGACAGAGAATGCTGCTGTTAAGTCCTTGAGCAAGACACTTAACCCACCTTTCCTGCTGGTGGTGGTCAGAGGGATCGGTGGTGTCAGCGCTCGGCCTTCATCATTGCACCCAAGGGTAGCTCATCACAACCAGTGTGCGAATGGGTGGATGACTGAATGTGTAAAGCACCTTGGGGGGTTGTAAAACCCTAAAGCTTGGTTTATGTTTGATGCATTTACTTTCTGCTTGGTGATGCGGCTCGCTGATGGAACGTGCTTCACAACTTGCAGCGTTTATGGTTCATGCGGCTTGTCTCTGTGGTGAGCCAATATTCTCCCAAACTGTAGGAGGCAGCATGGAGCTCTATGGCATGCATCCAACACTACACCATAGTAGAAGTGAAAATGACTGTTTACAACATGGCATTCCAGCATTTTTTAACAGCGTCCTCGTCTTTTCCGACAGTGCGAGCTATTTCTCTCCAAGAATTATTTACAACATGTTGATCACGGTGATCTTTGAGAGCTGAATCATACAAATGTCTGTATTTACGAACCTCTGCCATACTAGTTCTTGCCAGTCCGCCATGTTTTTCCGCGTCCGACCGTCTGCATGTTTAGAAAATTTCCTAGGTGCGCGGTGCGGAAAGTTTGGGCCGTGCGGAGGCGCGGTGGAGGGGCGTGGTTGTTAAAATGATGCAATTTAGCCGTGCGAACCTTGCGGACGCATCAAGCAAAAACCAAGCTTAAGAAGGTACTATACAAATACAGCCTATTTAGCATTTACCATTCCAGCTTGACACTCAGCATTAAGGGGTTGGATTGGGGGTAAAACAACCAAAGCGTTCCTGAGCACAGCCACTGCCGTCTCGGGGGATGGGTCAAATGCGGAGAACACACATTTGTGTGTGTGTGACAAGTAATTTTGAAAATAAAATAAAATAAATGTATAATCCCAGAGGGAATTGAAGTATTTCTTGATCTGTCTTTTTGAAAAAAGCTGAATTGTTTGTGTTATTTTATCATTGAAGGATTTACAGGAGTTTCCAAAAGTTTTGTTTTTGTTTTATCTGCAGGTTTTAAATCCCAAGAAGAAAGGCAAAAAGAAAAAATACATCAATTCTGGGACTGTGAGTGCCTCTACATCAATATGCTGGTACCATTGTGTCTCACGTCGTCTTCCCCATATGTGTCTCTGTTGTGTCTTCCTGTCTCCCGTCCTCATCTGCTCATCACACCATTGTGCCTTGGTATCTCCGTGTTTGTGTTTGCCAGGTAACTTTGCTGTCCTTCAAAGTGGAGTCGGAGTATACCTTTGTGGATTTTATCCGAGGAGGGTGAGTGGAATATTAATTAGTCTGCACTCACAGGAAGTGGCAAAAGTCTTTGTGTTTATGCATCTGTGTGTGCTCGAGACTGAGGACACTTGATGGAATTTCCCAGTGCTCTTCGGAGAGCATGATATCAAATTTGTGCATGCTCTGAGTGGAGGAAGTTTTGAAAGGAAAGTTGTATTCATGAATTTAATAAGTGAGTACTTAATTTATTCATTTCTTTTGCTTTGGATTGCTGGTTCCATCTGTTTGACCCAATTAAACATTCAAGGTGATCAAGACACCATTGTTGTGCCATACTAATAAGCCGGCAGCCAGTCAACCAGAAAATTGAGCGCCATCTCGTTGGATTTGTGTATCTCTGTGTTGGACACAACTGTCCATGTCAAGAATACACACATGTGTAATTCTATTTGTTGTTTTCATTTGGTGTGCAACAGGACACAACTGAATTTCACAGTGGCCATTGACTTCACAGCATCAAACGGTAAGCTGCCTACGAATGTTTATTTCATTTATCTTGGTTATTTTCATTATTATTTTTCATTTTTTGTCTTTAATTCACACCCCAGCTAAAATTATATATATATATATATATATATATATATATATATATATATATATATATACTAGTTTGTCAGTTTAATTATAGATCCACTAGGATAAATACAATAAAGTTTATCTTTCACCAAATACAATATTTACTAAGACATCACAATATAACTATAGACACATTACTTGTGTGTGTGTGTGTGTGTGTGTGTGTGTGTGTGTGTGTGTGTGTGTGTGTGTGTGCGTGCGTGCGTGCGTGCGTGCGTGCGTGCGTGCGTGTGTGTGTGTGTGTGTGTGTGTGTGTGTCTGCCTGCTCTGTCTTCTCGATCCCCAGTGAGTCGTGGAGGATGGCTGCTTATACTGAGCCAGGATTCTCTGGAGGTTTCTTCCTGTTAAAAGGGAGTTTTCCTCTCCACTGTCGCTGCATGCTTGCTTAGTATGAGGATTGCTGTATAGTCACTGACACTAGTCAGTGACTTGATGCAATTTGCTGGGTTCCTTATATAGGACACATTATTTCTGATTGGCTTAATGAACTGTGAATTGTAATTTTTATTATGTGAAGTGCCTTGAGACGACTCTTGTCGTGATTTGGCGCTATATAAATAAACTTGAATTGAATTGAATATATACATACTTTGATTTTCCATTTATTTGGACCTGATTACTCTAGACACTAATGGCAAAATAAAGGGTTTATTGTGAAAAAACATCCAATGAAAATCCAAATTTATAACCAATATTGCTGTTTGCAGGTTTAAAATCCCAACAATTAAATATATCCTCCCTAATACAAAACAGAAGCCTTGAAATGCAGAAAAGGTCCAAAAAAGAGAAGGAAAACAACTCGAGGGCTTAAAAATCCGACAAGGGCATGATCGGGCAAACGGGCTAAAAACATGAGCTGAACGCATGAACACACAGGCGCAACAGGAAAAATAACAGCATGGTGTAAAAATCCGTTTATATCAGTGATCCCACTTAGACTGAGAGACCATCTAAAGGCTCAGGACCCTTTGCAGGTATTTAGGATTAGTCAGCTGATCAGAGTGTGACACTTTGAGTCTAGAATATTGAACATTTTCACATTATTCTAGTGTTCGTAGATTTTGAATGAGGGTTTTCATCAGCTGTAAGCCATAGTCATCACATTTACAATAAATAAAGGCTGAAAAAAAAATCCGGCTTTGCATGGAAGGAGTCCGTCTCATAGATTAAATTCACCTTTCAGGTTTAGTCACTGACATAAATGAGCTTTATCATATTCTGATTTATTGAGTTTCACCTGTAGTCTGGTATAAGGGAGGCACACAAAGAGTGATCAATGACTTGGTCTTAATCATAACGTGTGGAACGCTGAGGATATGGCTGCAGACAAGCTGGCAATGTGGGAGAGACTGAGGAGAGCTTCTGTGCATGGAGCACTGGTGATATGCATGAGTGTGATTACAGCAAGCAACTGCACATGATCAAGCATGAAGGCACAAGAAAATCATGATGTTGAGCCAATAATTAACATATATTTAATCCAAATTCTATGAGTAGTTTTCATTTTTGTCTTCATCTTCTTCCATCTTCTTCACTTTTTTTGTTTTCTCTGCCCTCTTTCTTCTTACTTCTGCTTCCATGTCTGCCTTTCCTTGGCCTCCTTAAGCTGAAATAGTTGCAGTTTTGCAGGGATAATGTTTAAAGCTTAAGCATGGATGATAGGACATACGTGACGTTAGCAACCTAAATGATTTATTTTTTTTATTAGGGGGGACCCCATATATATATATATATATATCAGTATCTGCTTATATAATATAATATATTATAATATAATATTATATTATATTATAATATATTATATTATAATATAATATATAACACAATACCATATCATATCCCATCATATCATAAATGAAAAAGTAAAAATCAAAAGAAAAATGGCAGATCTGGGATTGAAACGATTATAATTTTAGGTCTTATGGCCCAAAGGGAAAAGGAATCTGCGTTTTCAGACTAATGATGCAGGTTTTTTATCGACTTAAATTAAGTTCATTACAACGTATGAGTCAACGTGCACACCGGACTGCATTGGATGTAAAACACTTGGCTGTGTAAAGTTTATGGAATTCACATGGGAACTAATTATTTTCTGTTTCTTATGCCACTTTATTCACGTCTCACACTACCTACTGAGTCTTCAGTTTTCCCAGAAACTCTCTTATGTTACTCCAGTTCAGACAGAGTTACTTTTAAAACACACTTCCTTTAATTTCAGCCAAGCAAAATGAAAACAATATTTTAAATTTGTGTTTAAAGAACAAATGTGCTGTTGTATTCATGCTATTAGTGAGAAAACCAGCAGTCACAAGTGTGCTGGATACAGGGAACGTGGTTGGTATTCATCGTGTCCAGAGATGTGTTGTGCACCTGTAGTGTAGCTGGAAGCTCAATTGGATTAGTGGGGGCACCTTACAGTGTGTGTGTGTGTGTGTGTGTGTGTGTGTGTGTGTGTGTGTGTGTGTGTGTGTGTGTGTGTGTGTGTGTGTGTGTGTGTTTAAAAGTGGAATTCACAGCGGCTTATGAGATCAATTTCATCCTTTCATCTCCTTTAAAAGCAGCTCACTTTTGTTAGAATGGAGAAGAGACTCCAGCTCATGTTATCTAAAGGAGGAGCTGAAAATCATTTATTTTAACATCCAGGACAAAAAAACGTGCTGCTCCAACAAAACTGTTATTGATGAAGGGATATTTACTCTTGTAGAGCGGGTTTTACGAGATAAAAGACTGTTTTTCTTTTTCTTCCAGCTATCAGCTTTAGCAGCACAACCAGTCTTCTTCTAATTTATCACACTTATAGTTAGTGGCTGTTGAGATTCCTAATGCTGGATCAGGCTTTTGGCACTCTAAAAATGGAAAACAAACATTTTAGCACATGCAGTTTTCTTGAATTGGTCGTCTCTTGGTAATGCACAGATCCTTCTGTTTCAAATTAATCAGCACGTTCGGAACAAGCAGGGGAATCATTTTTACGGTAGGGCTTAAAACGAGTGAACAGCTGTCACCCTTGGACAAAAGTAACAAAAACATGCATAAGTATTTTTAGCATTTATTTACTCAGGGCAACGACTGTTACACAATTCAGTGGATAGTGTTAAAATAGCGTTATGATGCTGAAGCTGCATTAGCACATCTGCAGAACAAGCTAGGTTTTGAGTACAAACAAATTCACGGAGCACTCACCGGTCCGGTCCCTCCAGGAACCAGAAGTCCACATCGCCAGAGGAAACGAGATAGTGCTAAACACCAGTCGTTTTGTTGTCCGTGCAGCATAACAGTGCATGATGAGCGGAGGACCCGGGAAAGTGCGGAGGTTCAGTGACACTGACAACCGGATGGTTCAGTCGTTGCTTCCGGTCCGAACAGTGTTATTGGTGAAGGTTTCTAGACAAATGCAAGAGAACCACTTTATTAATGTTTACCTTTTTATAAATTCTCCACACTATATTTATATTTATGCTATGATTGTTAATTGTTAGGAGGCATGAAAAAAATGTTTAAAGCAAATGTATTTTCCAAATTTGCTTTTGCATCTTAAATAAAAATCTAAGACCGCCACAGCCACTGAGAAACATATAATACATGTTCTTTTTGAAATATAATCGGTTGCTTGGAGTTTGACATGCATGCTCAACAAACTTTCTACCCCTATTTCCTGTATTAGGTGCAAAAAGAAAAAAGCCAGGCAGGCGACTGAGTCAGAAAAAGTCACACAGATCTACGTCATACTGAAAATTAGCATTCATGGACTCACCCATCTGGACTAACGACGAGGAAGGCTGTTGTTGGTTTAGTGTCCAGAAAGCATCAGGGAACATTTCGGCTAGTAGAAGCTAACTGTTAGCATTAGCAACTCCACCACACAGCAGAACTCCTCCAGGTTTGTACTATTGTTGGAGATCAAACATCAAAGTTGCAGAGCAAACAGTCAGTGGTAGAGTTGTTTCTGTTAGCCAATCAGAGCTGAGATGTCCAAATATCAGGAAATGCGTCTCTAAAACCTGTTGTGTTTTGCTCGCCTCTCCTCTGACTCACTTCTACTTCCTGAAACAGGAGCACCAGAGTGTTTTGCTGACAGAAATCGGTTCACATGGCATTCATTTATATTAGACTACTGTAAATTATTGAGAAAAATAACTAGTGAACTTGGTCATTAATGGTCTTAACATGGGAGACACGTTAGTGGTCTTGATGAGTTGTCAAACTGCTGGTTAAAATGATTAAGGTGTAACAGAATGAAATGACTGTTTTTTCCCTCCTCTGACACAGAACTAGTCTGCATGAGATATGGTCTCAAGGTCTCATGCATTTGCATCTAACCTGCTTATTTTCAGCTCAGAAGAATGAAGAATGAACTTTTTTCTTTTAATTAATCAAAGAACTCTAGTTTAATAAGCTAATCAAGCAAAATGTTAGTCAATAAATAAGATGTGACCGATCTGTGAAATCAAAATATTAATTACTTTATTATAATCCTATAGAATATGAAGGTCATACGACTTTAAATGTTCCAATAGGACTGATCTCATGTAGCGTTAAAAGACATGACACATTACTTTCACTGATCCAATCAGAATCTGACAGATCTGACGGAGGCGTGGTTTTGATGGTGTTTGGTAAAACCTGTCAACTTTTCATTCGACCATAAACCAAAACATCCGAAGTATAAAACTATGCCCACGTCATCTTTAACGCCAGTTCAAAGCGTTCCAGAGAAGTTGTCGGAGTGGCCAATCCTTAACTCTCCTCTTTAACCGAAAGAACCAACAACTTTTGGTGGACTTCAGCCTGGTGAGGTCATCAACCTGCAGGAGTCAATGTTCTCTGCGCTCCTCCCAAGATCTCCCTCCCACCTGTGGCTACAGTGGCTGAGCGCCATACATGGCTGCTCTCCCTGGGGAAACAGGATCCCAGCCCCCCCTGCCTTCCTATTATCATGTGATGTTGTGTTGTGTTGTTTGTTGCTTCTCTGAATTGTGTGTACTGAAACTCTAATTTCCCTCTGGGATTAATAAAGTATCTTTGATTTAATTTGATTTGACAAGCTGGAAAATTCGTTGCTGTTCAAACTGCTGCAACAGTTCCCATCAGAACTAATCGCAGCTTCGGATTTGCTGGTTCTGATCAACATCACACGTCATCCGTTCACCGTCTCATCCACCTTAGTTACACGATACATTTAGTGCTTAAAGTCAGTCTAATTTAATTTGTTAGTAATACAATTCTTAACTTGTAAACTTGACTCTCTCTCTTCTGTTGTCTGAGTGAATACGGAGCTGTTATCTAATCCCAGCATTAAAAAGTTCCAATCTTCTGGTTTAAAATAACCTCACAGATCCGTAAGGTGGATTTCGTATTTCCTATGGAATCCTACGCCTTATGGCTTATTAAATAACATGTAATTTAAATCATTACAAAGGATACATTATGTTGTGTTATTTCTGCTTTTTGGAGTAATTACGGTGGCCCAGAAGGTTCAATGGAAATTAAACAACAAAACAAAAACGGAAAAAGCCACAACCCAAGTAATGATGAAAAGGAAGTAATAATATTAATTAAATAAAAATTGCAATAAGGTGTAATATATGTTAAATTGGAAGTTATGCTAATACCTTAATTATGCCAAAACTGTCAATTATAATAGCCTCTTAAAATCTGTTCATTTTCAAAATACAAGAAGTTACAATAGTTACTCAAGTGTGTTATAAAGTACCAAACTGTACTGCAGCTCTGTGTTGTTGTTTTTTTACTGCAGATATCCTGTTTAGTTATTTTTAAATGTATTTTAAGGGAACCCATCCCAGCCCACTTCCCTCCACTACATGAGCCCCTACCAGATGAATGCATATGCCATGGCCCTGAAGGCAGTGGGGGAGATTATCCAGGACTACGACAGTGACAAGCTCTTTCCTGCCTACGGCTTCGGAGCTAAGCTGCCCCCCGATGGCAAAATCTCCCACGCGTTCCCTCTGGTAGGGCATCCACATGCACACAAACATACAAATTCACACTTGCAGGGGACGTCCTCGTCGTCTGCCTGGACCAGGAGACGTAGCGGCAACAACAGCTGGTCACACAAACTGAGATGTTGGCTCATCTTCCTGCCAGCAGGAATCTCCCAGCAGCCCCTCTACTTCCTCCTTCCTCCCTCCTGAGGGATGACAGCGGCAGTCACTAAAGGCTGGATGCTAATCTTAAGTGAAACTAAGGGACTGTTTAACTCAAAATGACTTCATCAGTCCTTAATAAGAACCAACATCCTTGGTAGGATGAGTAGAGATTGTATATTTATTTATTTATTTATTTATATTTTACATGCATGACATTGAATTTATCTGATCCACTTAGATAAATAATATTTGATTTGTTTTGCTCTTTTTAAACTTTCAACTGGTTTAACTGCATAAATGCAGTTTAATGCACTTTATGTGCAAGACGCACATCCTCACGTTTCTGATTTCTGCTTATATATTACAAAACTTCAAAGTGTGGGGCTGAATAGCTGGATTTAGAGCTTGTTTAGTGTGGCCTTCACACATCAAATCACTTGGAAACTGGAGTTCTTCCTCTGTGCCTCGATACAGAAACTCCTCTGACACCGCAGAGCTCTGGCAGACTAGAGCACAATAAATAAATAAACAAATAAATAAACACGCCAGGAAGTTGGTACTCTGTTAATCATACGCTTATTCACATGCATTAGCTGATAATTTGTGGGTTTGGCATTTTAGATGCTAGTTACATGGTTCCATAACACATTAGATTTATGTTTTTACGGTACATAGTAATAACTAAAAGGTTATAAAAGGCGCTCCTAAAAGATTCCTGTAAATTCTTATTGGCGGAATAATTTGCTATTTTCAGATGGTTTCATGTATTTCTTTGTGTTGTCTTTGTTGGTGTATTTCATGAAATTGCTGTTTGTGTTCATTTGCAGAATGGCGATGGCGAGCATCCGAATTGTGTCGGTATAGAAGGCGTTCTGGAGGCCTACTTCCAGAGCTTGAGAACGGTGCAGCTCTATGGACCCACCAACTTTGCACCCGTCATCAACAAAGTAGCAAAGTAAGCCACTCAGAAGGGAGTTGATTTAGAAAATGTGTTTGATGTCTTACGAAATTGACTAACTTAACCAATAGTAACTCATAGCTGAGTGAGGGAATCTGCTAAATTCTGTTTTTACCGACATAACTCATAAGCTACGAATAAATTCAACTAAAAAAGCCCAGTGCAAGATTGGGCTTAGGTTTTTGAAAATGCCGCAAATGGTTTAGAATTTTTTGTATTAAAACAAAGAAATCGCAACAAATAAATAAATGCATCAAGGATAAGCAGGTCTAGATTTTTAGGCTAGGTTTGAGGATATCTGGTGGTCTTTTATGGTAATTAGAAGAGTGTACACAGAGGTAAATGGATCCATCATTTGGAACATTCAGGTATTATTTGCACTTAATTTGTTAAATGTAAACAAGAGATATTTATGTTTAACAGTTTGGTCTCTAAAGATGCTCTTTTTTAATCTGGGGTGTGTTGGTTTATTGTGGAAACTCATCAAAATGTTGATTTTATCAAGATTTATTCTGCACATGGCTGCAATTAATTCTGCTCATTTGCATTTGGATGCTTGTTTTTGATCAGCGTTGTTTACTTTTAGTAATAAAATGACCACAGAAGCAGAGTGAGAGCTGACATTTCAAACCAGATGATCAAAAACAAAAGTTTAAAAATGGAAGCCGGCAGGTGAACATGATACAGCACCTTTGGTGGATTAATTAAAGCGGTGTAATCTTCTTTGCTAATTACTAAACATCTTGTGTGAAGTAAACTCTAGTAAACTAGTTGTTTTCTGGAAATCCTCCACCCAGACTTTCTGGGTGTTATCCAGTAGCTTCCGCTGCATTACAGTTTGTTTACAATGTCTTCCCCCATTGGGAAGCGGAGATCTTTTCTTTTCCCAGAATTTTGGAGTGGAAGACGAATTGATGATTCACAAACCATTGTTCTGCTTCCTAGTTTAGATTCTTAGTGGAAAAGGCATTTTTGTCACCCCTTTTAAAGCTGTTTGGTTTGGCTGGTTTGCAGAGAGTTAGTTAATGTTACCTTCCTGATGCAGGGAGAATGATGAGCGAAAACCCAAATATTATCCCACTACTGGTAAAGTCAAGAAAAATCATAGAGATCCCAAAGATTTCCAGCTACAGTTTCATAAAGCCTAAAACACATCCAGCTCTGCACAGACTCGAAAGACAATGAGTTTGTTTTCAGCTAGGTAGGTAAGCCTTTGGTTTTAGACGCTGCTCCAGGAAACAAACAAGCCCACATGCATGCATTGGTCACGAACCCAAACCCTCATAGCTTCTGTTTACCAATGAGATTTTCATTAGTTTTGTTGTTTGCTTTTTCTTATCAAAGGCTTTGCTGCCTTTGCAGTTGCAAATTACTTGTATTTCATGTCTGCTTTGTTTTATTTATTAATGTCTTCAATTCTTTCTCATTCTGACTGACTTCTACAGTTTGAGCTTTAAGAGTTGGATCCTAGGCACATAGAAGGGGCATGATTTACAGATAAGAATCAAAAATACATGTAAATGCAATGTTTATATTGTGATGAATGAAAAGGATTATGGAATAGAATGCAAAATTAAAAGATTGTTGCAAATGAGAATTCATTTTTATCGCAAGGTGTTAAAGGGATACTTAGCTACTTTTTCATATTTTTGAAATAATTTTCTTGAGCCAGCATGTGCTAAAATGAGTCTCTATGGGGGAATGAAAAGCCACCCAGCCCCTATAGCCCCCTGAGGGTAGAATATTCCACCTGCAACTTCAGAGTGTCTAAGCCAGTCTGTTGGACTTAGAAAAAATGTGAGCTGACATGCCTGGAGCTGCAGTCTGCTTTCAGCACATTTCCTGCATAATTTAGATCAGGGGTATTGAATTCCGGGCCTGGAGGGTCGGTATCGAGCACGTTTTAGTTTCAACTGTTTCAACACACCTGATTTCAATCAGCAGGTGATTAACAGGCTCCTGCAAAGCCTGATGAGCTGCTGTACAGGTGATCCACTGTGGTGAATCCAGTGTGTTGGAGCAGAAAAACCACCAAAACATGCTGGATACCGGCCTTCCAGCCCCAGAATTGAATCCCCGTTTTAAATCATGAACATAGCTGATTTGTTTAGAGATTAATCACTCCTGTAGACACTAAGGAAGGCTGGGGAGACATTTCAGCTGTTAGATTAAGGTGATAAAAAGACAACGGAGGAGACAAGTTTTGCCTTTGGTTCTACGAATGGACACTAGGGGGTGCTAAAAGCAAGCTAAAACTGCTAAATGGCCTTTTGTAGGTGTTCGTTTTTGATGTGGCCTTAAATGACCAAAAGATGTACCATTTTTCACGGAACTCAGGGAAACAACAAAACCCTGTGAATTACGTTGTTGTGGAGGGAATTCTCCTGATTTTTCTTTTTGACATTGGGAGGTTATTAACATCGATTTGAAAGCGGCGTGAACGGTGCTTTTTTGCTTTGCTTCCATTGTGCTTCACAAGCAACTCTTCTAATTTGCAAAGGCCATTTGTTTTGGATGACATCTGTTGATGTCATTTCCTGATGAGTTACACCCGACCACCATGGGTTTACCAAAATCTCCATTTAGCAAAAACCGAGCCTTTGCCTGCCCCAAAACAACTCTTCTCATCTGAATTTGGAGTCCTCAGGAACACCCCCCACCCCCAGAAGGAAAGCGAACAGATGATGTGAAACCTACCCTACCCCGTGCCTTTAGAACTGTAGCGTGGCCTGGCGAGGACACCGAACCTAAAGCCTAATTTATACTCTCCGTCTACATCAGGACAGACGCATGCAACGCCATTATCCATCCTTGCGAGGGCTTGCAGCAGGCTCACAAGGACGGACGGAGTCAAGCTCTCTTGCCTAAACATTCGTCATTTGAGACGGAGAACGCAAGCTTGTGATTTGGTCAGCATGCCGCTGTCATCTACAGCACCGCCATTGCGCCCTCAAAAACAAATAGAGCCGAGGATATCTAGCGGCAGACATGGAGCAGCTTGACGAATCCCTCGCGGAAAAAACGCTAAAAACATGAATGTTTTATTCCCCAGTGACTGGAGGAGTGAAAAGATACGCAGTAAGCGTTTTATTGGTTGATGGAAATTACAGGAAACGTGGGTTTAGAGGTGGGGAGCGCATGAAGAGGTGGAAAAAAATGAGGGACAAATTTGTCTGCATTAAAAAGTCTCTTAAATAAAAAATAAAATAAAAACACAATATAAACACACTATCTTGGACCGGATGCATGACAAGATACCACAGAACAGTGCTACGCCCTCTGTTGTCCTGGCGGGGAATTGCTTTGCAACACTCCCCAAGAGACGGAGGAGTATGAGGGCAAATTGTCTCCATCCGTGTGTGCGTGTCTCTCCCTCGTGGAACTCCCTTCCACCTCTGATCAACAGTGATCGAGTATGCTCTGAGGCTCCGGCTCTCTCAGAAGCAAAGAGGTTCCCAGCCTCCTCCCACCTGCCTCTCAGAGACTCATGTCTGTGAACTGTATGATGTTTTTTGCTTATGTTGAAGTGGGTTTTTTTTGCGTAGTGAAATGCCCTGTCATGGCTGCCTGTACCTATTTTGTCTAAATATTGTGTGTTTAACCTTGATTGGGTTGTGCTGCAGGGACATATTTCTATTCTCCAGGAAGCTGATGCAATAACAATAAAGTTGGTTCTTATTCAGTTACGTTGTGTGCTACAAACACATCTGGCTAAGCTTGTGTCACTGGCTGAGAATAGACCAAAACAAAGATTTCAAGACCAAGAAAATAGAAATCAATCAATTAAATCCAACAAACCAGAGAGATTATTTTAAATAAGATCTTAGAGCCTCTTAGCCCCGTATACAATGCTTTCATAAAGTCAAACCACTTCTGACCTTCCAAGAGTCTAAATGTTGACTTCATGCTCAGAATAATCATCAAGCCTTATTGCACACGATAACAAGCGTGTTAATATTTGTCAGAAGTCCTGCAAGACCATCAATGTTCTTCAAAGTCTTTAGTGTGCGTGTCTGTGCGGGGTGTATGTAAAAAAAAGCGTAATGTGTCATTTTCAACTAAATTTGCTTTAGCCTCTTTTATAAGACACACCATGGTAACTCGGCGTGATATTACCGCAGTGGTATGTCTATAAATGCGCCATGCCGGCATGGCGTTGCGCAAATTTTGTATCATTCGTTCCGCCTCGCTTGGTAGTAATATTGCGGTAATGGTCTGTCGTATGCGCCCTGGCGCAACAGAGGCAGCTGTCATGAAGACGTGGGGAATTATTGCTGAGCTCTGGCTGGCAAATTTATTGAAAATGAAAGTAAACACAGGCAATAAGGTTTGCTTTTTGAACAAAATCAGCTGACATGGCAAACTGGAGCGCTGCAGCACTCCACGAGCCTCTCTGTTAGAGCTGAAGCTCAGATCGCCAGAGTCTGCACAGGGGCTGATGGGGACAGACACCTTTAGGAGCTGCTTGTCAAAAAAAACTTAACAATCACGGCTTCAATCGCAATAAAAAGCAAGTTATGTCCAAGATAAACGGAAGTCTGCGGCAGCGCAGAGACCGCCCCCATACCCCCTTTATGCCGCCATCACCTAATCTTTTATAAAATTGCCACGACTGCGCCACATTACCACCACGGTTTGATCTTATAAACGACCTTTATCCTTCCCAGGGAGCCACAGCAAATCCTGTTTTGCAAACGCTCTGGTCCTGTAAAAACAGCTCTTGTCTTTATCCCAAACCAGAGATCTGGTAGAGCTGAAGAAAACTCTTTTCAGTGATAGCTAAAACTAAAAGACATCATTTACTGACTTATCATGGAAACGGCAGCGTGACATTAGAGTATTTAGAGGGATTGGAGATCAACAGAACTTTAAGGCAGAGAGGAAATTATCTCTGTCTGGCCCCAAAACAAGTTCTTATCTGAATCTGGTGCCCTTGAGCCTGTGAGGTTGAAGAAATTACTCCCCCTCAGAAGAAATGTGGAATGCTGCTGTCGCCATGGCGACTTTGTCTCCCTATCCCAGCCTGGGCGGGACTGTGACCGGTGAAGGTTGTTGAATCGTTCCTGGAGTCACTGTGCTCTCTAAACCCAACTACCTCCCACCCCTGTCCAGACTAAGGTGACGAGCGCTGCTTATCGCGGCTGCATGCACTGATGTGTGGAGAGTCCCCAACCCTACCTCCCCACCTAGTGGACACTTATGTTGTGTATTGTCTGAAGTCTGTTGCATTTCTGTCTGAGGTGCCTTTTGTATAGCAAAGCTGCCCTCCCTGTGGAGGGTAACTCTGAAGTGCCTTTTTTTCCTCCTCCTGACTCTATCCTCATGTAAACCCCTCGATCTCTATTAAGGTAGAGCGACTCGGGTTGCGGATGACCACAGTCACCAATTCTTGTCATGTGTCTTTGCCTATTATGTCTGATCTCAGAATCGTGTGTACTGAAACTCTAATTTCCCTCTGGGATTAATAAAGTATCTTTGAATTAGAATTGAATTGAAGTGACCTCCAGCAGAACCTGCTTCTTCATTATTTTATTTTAAATGGGACATCATTCAATAAATGCGCAAGCTCCGTTAGGCATTATCCCGTTAGTCTATTTTAAGATTATTATTTTTTTGTGTAATTTTGAACTTCTTTGAGTTCTGCATGAAAGTCAAATTATCCATGTTCTTCTGTAATGGTACGATTATCTCACAGGCACATAAAAGTCAGGCAAAATAAATTCACGTACCGTTTCTCTCCATTCACAGGAAAGGGCTGGGACATTAAGAAACACTGGGACTCGCCTGTTTAAAGAGGATTTAAATGAGAGATTATTTGTATGGCTAGACTTCAAAACAGCCCATTTCCCAGTTTGTTCCCAACATGACTTGTTGAATATCTTATTTAAATATCAGAACCAATCACATGAGTGCTTTAGCCTCTTCCTGTGGGTGAACAATAGTCCTCGGCTGGGTTTCATGCTGAGGGGAACAAACAATAGCTGCTAACAGGACAGAGCTGTAAGTATTCAATGAGTGCCCTAGTTGCCCTGCTGTTTATTTGCAGATTTAGCTTCGGCGTCGGTTAGAAAAATTCTCCGGTCCCTTGATAAAACATTGTTCTTTTTTTTTGTTCTGCTAGCTTCAGCCGAGTTTAGATAAAGATTAAGAAGTCCCGATGCTTATATCTGGAAAAATGTACCATGCTACCCCTAGAATTGGAATTGTTTTCCCCATCTGATCATATTAAAGGGCATTTGATTCCCTTTTGTAAGTTGAGATGAATTTAATTAATGTGATAAAGTTTATTCTAGAAAATCAGGATCTAAATAGTTTCATTATTACATCGTTGGAGCGTTCAGTTTGAAGATTAAAGATACCCGTCATTTAGAGCATCTAAGCACATTCCTAAATGTATCGTAACCTTTCAGATAATTTAAGCAAATAATTCTTATTTCCCTGGAAGGTAGTTGAGTTGGAGCCTTCCATATTTATTTGGCAGCTCAGGTTCAAACGAGATCAGATGTCTGTTTGCTCAATAATATCAAAAAGCTCCAAACTTTAATGAGCTGTGCAACTTTTTACATCACGGAAGCAACAAAAGGGCATCTGACGTGTGTGCAGGCAGAGAGTAGCATCTGTTATCAGAGAAGTGATGTTCAAAGCATCAAACAAGTGTTCTAGTAAAAATGTCAGAATTTGTGTCAGAAAGAAAATCCAATTTAGAAATTTCATTTTCCAAACTGGACACAGCCATTTACGTCCTTGACCAGGGTGCAGGCAGGTGTGTGTTTTCTAAGATGTGTGTGTGTGTGTATGTGTGTGTGTGTGTGTGTGTGTGTGTGTGTGTGTGTGTGTGTGTGTGTGTGTGTATGTGTGTATTCCCCAGCTGTGCATCAGAGATTACAGATGGCTCTCAGTACTTTGTCCTGTTGATGATCACCGATGGAGTGATATCTGACATGGTCCAAACCAAAGAGGCTGTGGTCAATGTGAGTACACACACACACACACACACACACACACACACACACACACACACACACACACACACACACACACACACACACAAAGGATGTTCATGTGTGCTTCAGCATCCTCTCGGCTCGTCTCTAGGGAGATGGAAGGGTATATTTCCTGATAATGATGTTTTTTATGTGGTTTTGGATTGAAAGAGCTACCAGACTTTAAGCCGTGCAACGTAAAACTCATAGATAATTGTCTTATACCCCAAAACCTTCTGCTGTGAGACATTTTTTACAATCCTATCCACCCTTTGTTCTCAGGGCTTTTCAGGATGTTGCATCACGTTAAAAGCCGTGCTCAAAATGAGGCTGCAATATGTGCTTACACACACACACACACACACACACACACACACACACACACACACACACACAATGGATGACCAATATCACACAAAAAACATTCTTTTACATTCTCAACAATCCTATTGTAAGGAGAAATACTTGAAAATGTTAAACTACACTTAGAGAATAGAGAAAAAGAAAAATATTATTTATATTTTTTTCTAAAATCTAATGTCATGCTCTCGTACCGAATCTCCTCGGTTTGTTCCCTTAGCGGAGAAACACGTGTTTAGCCTTTCACCAATATTTTATTAAAGCCATCTTATGCAACTTTTTCATATTTTTAAATATTTTTTTAGCCAGTATATGCTAAACTTGATGCTTTACAGAGTTAGTGAAAATGTTAAAAAGACGAACACACGGCGAGGAGATAAGGGTTAGATTAACGGACACTAGGGTCAGAGGTGTGGACTCGAGTCACATGACTTGAATGACTGACTGCTTGTTGACTGTAATCAAATATGATTAAGTACCTTGTTCTTCACCTGTTTTATACCGTTTGTTGTTTTCTTGTTTCTACTTTTTGTTTTTAACTCTTGTTTTTAATGTACGGTGACTTTGAGTTTCTTGAAAGGTGCCTCAAAAAATGCATTATTATTGTTAGTAGTAGTAGTAGTATTTTACACGAGCCCTAGATTGCTGACCAATAAAGTATGGTATTCACAGAAGGAACTTGTCATGAGTTGGTTTAGGAGGAAGTGTAGGACCCAAGATGCAGATACCAGACAAATGAGGCAGAGGTGGAAGATGAAATAAAAATCCTTTATTTAGGAGTAATCCAAGAAGGCATGGAGCCAAAAACCAAAAATCCAAATGACTAAACTAGAGATCCAAAAACACTAGAGACACTAGAAGCTAGAGCGCAAACGAGAACGAGACTGGCACGAACAATGAACCAACAACACAGTGAGACGCAGACAGGGTTTTATACACTGGGGAGGATGAGAGGGAGATGAGCTGCAGGTGTGTGGGGGGAGAAATCAGGTGAACTCAATTACTAATCAGGGAGAGGGCAGTGAGTTGAAGAGGAAGAAAAATAACAAGACCTAAGATTAAAGACAAACCCTAACAACAAGAAGAGCAAAATAATTAATAATCTGAGGAAAGAGAACTAAAGAACCGGTGGGGGGAAAGAAACACACCAAAAGAGACTAATAGATGAACAGCTGAATCTGAAGGAAAACACTACAGAAAGAAAAACTACAGGGGCGTGACTAAGGGGGGCCACGGGAGTACAGGACCTGGGAGGGGGATACCTGGACAGGGAAACATAGAGGGCTGCAGATCTGGGGACAAATGAGGAACACAAGGAGACACATGAGGAAGATGCAGACAAGGACACATGAGGATGCTAGGAGACACAAAAGGAGAACCTAGAGAGGGATGGAGAACACAAGGAGACACATGAGGGGAGACGCAGACGCAGACCATGACAGAACTGTCAATCAACAAACATCACTAAACGTGCCACATATCAAGCATTCAAGCTCACCGTCATAGATTTTTTTTCACTATTATAGATTTTGTCTTTGAATTTTGGATAGAATCAATAACAGCTAGGTCCATAATTAAGGTAAAAGAAGTTTGAAACTTGATCATTTAGTAAGTTTGCTCAACCTTTTTCACTTTCTGTCTTTGGAACAGGCAGCATCACTCCCTATGTCCGTCATCATCGTTGGTGTTGGCCCTGCTGAGTTTGATGGTGAGTTCCTTCCTTTTTTACATCATAAGTAACAAAAGTTTTTCCCTGAGATGTTTATTTTTTCCTTTTGAGCTGAACTGTTTTGCTTTTTTTTATCTTTGTGTTTAATTAAATAATTACTTAAAGAATATAACTTGAGTGAAGTACCCTCACCAGTTTGCTTTTGGTAGATTCAGGTGAAGAGAAACTGCAGTTGCAATAATGGGTTGTCCCGTATGCTGGGGGCGGGGGGGGGGGGGGGGGGGGGGTATGGGGGGGGCACTGACCTATTGCCTAGAAATCTAGACCAACTGTAACAGTTGCAATAGATTTTGTTCTGCAGGTTGGTCTAAACACACTCCATTGTAGCCAAAAGCTTGGTTTATGCTTGACACATTTACTTTCTGCTTGGTGATGTCATGGTGGGTGGCAGTTTCTTGACCCACGACATGCAGAATCACAACAAGGAGAACAGGTAAGTAAGTAAAAGGGTTTTTTATTATTAGATGAGGAGCAAAGGGCGAGACGGGAACTGACAAAGTGCAGGACTGGCAGCAGGATACCAGGAGGGGATTCTGAGGAGGGAGACAGAGTGAATATAAGGTGGAAACAATGGAGACTTATCTGGAGGCTGGGCTTACTGTTTCTTGGTAGTGGTGAAATGTACAGGGAGGGTTAGGTCAGGTCTGGGTGAGCTGAGGAGATCCAGGAGATGAGGGAATTGATTTATCCAGAAAAGTAGGAGCAGAGATGGCTGATGGCAGGTGAGCGGCTGAGAGCGGGCGGCCAGGGCATGAAGCAGTGTGGTCAGGAATGCAGAGACCCGGGGTTGTTCTGGAGATGATGAGGAATGAAGAGGAACCTGGAGGAGAGCAGGGAAGGGCATTCAGGAATTTCAAGCGGCAGGTTAACATGAACAGGATACAAATATCAAGATCAGGTTGGAGGCTAGAGCTACCCAAACAGAGTAATCATCCGGCGTGGTGAAGTGTCACACTGCTCCTTAAATCCCCTGGGCCTTGATGGTGAAATCAGCTGCAGCTGGGAGCTCTCAGACACGCCCACCTGTGAAAACAATTCTCAGAGGAGAAAACAGGGTTACAGGCTGGCAGCTCACCACGGACCATGACAGGTGATGCGGCTCGCGGATGGAACGTGCTTCACAAATTGCAGCGTTTATGGTTCATGCGGCTTGTCTCTGCGGTGAGCCAATATTCTCCCAAGCTGTAGGGGGCAGCATGGAGCTCTACGGCATGCATCCAACACTACACCATAGTAGAAGTAAAAATTACTGTTGTTTACAACATGGCATTCCAGCATTTTTTAACAGCGTCCTCGTCTTTTCCGACAGTGCAAGCTATTTTTTTCCAAGAATTATTAACAACACGTTGATCACTGTGATCTTTGAGAGCTGAATCATACACGTGTCTGTATTTACAAACCTTTGCCATACTAGTTCTTGCCGGTCCGCCATGTTTTTCCGTGTCCGACCGGCCGTGTGGTTAGAAAATTTCCTAGGTGCGCGGTGTGGAAAGTTTGGGCTGTGCGGAGAAGCGGTGGAGGGGGGTGGTTGTTAAAATGACGCAATTTTGCCGCGCGGAGCCGTGCGAACCTCGTGGATGCGTTAAGCTTAAGCAGGTCTACTATTGGCCCGAACAGTTTTGTGACTTTCCAACCACATCGCTCTATGTGTGTTGGACAGGCTTAGCACTAGAGCTGTGATGGAGAAAACTACAAATAAGGTGTCAGTTCAGGAACGGTACTCGTTTGAAATGACTTTGGTATCAATATTGAAAGACTTTGACTTGGGCTTTTCTTTCAGACAAGCGGAAAGCAATACTTTATTTTGAAAAGGGATTATTCTTCTTCATTGTGTGACAAACTGCCCCTCTGACTGATTTCCATAGCAATGAAAACATTAGTTGTTTCCAACTCTGAATGGTCCTAGCGCTGTCCAATAGTGTGCAGAAATAGTCCGAAAGACAATTGTAGATTCAGCCTCATGGCTGTTCTTTAAATGGGTCATGGCCATCCTATATATTTACATATATAGGATGGCTTGCCAGGCTAGTTGACATATACAGTAGGGCAAAAAAGTATTTAGTCAGCCACCAATTGTGCAAGTTCTCCCACCTGAAAAGATAAGAGAGGCTTCATCATTGGTATGCTTCAATTATGAGAGACAAAATGAGAAACAAAATCCAGAAAATCACATTGTCAGATTTTTAAAGAATTTTTTTTTTGCAAATGATGGTGGAAAATATTTGGTCTTCTACATACAAGCAATATTTCTCACATCTTCTGTAAGAGGCTCCTCTGACCGCCAGTCATTACCTGTATTAATGGCAACTGATGGAATTCATTATCAGTATAAAAGACACCTGTCCACAAACTCAAAGAGTCACACTCAAAACTGCACTATGGCCAAGACCAAAGAGCTGTCAAAGGACACAGAAACAAAAGTGTAGACCTGCACCAGGATGGGAACACTGAGTCTGAAATATATAAGCAGTGTGAAGAAATCAACTGGGGGCAACTATTAGAAAGTGGAAGGCACACCAGACCACTGATAATCTCTCTCAATCAGGGGCTCCACACAAGATCTCACCCTGTGGGATCAAAATGATCACAAGAACAGTGAACTACACGAGGGGATCTAGTGAAAGACCTGCAGAGAGCTGGGACCAAAGTTACAAAGGCCATCAGTAACAAACTACGGCACTAGGGACTCAAATCCTGCAGCACCAGATGCATCCCCTGCTTAAGCCAGTGCATGTGCAGGCCTGTCTTACATTTGCTAGAGAACTTTTGAATGATCTAAAAGAGGATTGGGATAATGTCATATGGCCATATGAAACCAAGATAGAACTTATTGTGTTTGGAGGAGAAATAATGCTCCATTAGAACACCACAACTACTGTAAAGCACGGGTGTGGAAATATTATGCTTTGGGGCTGTTTTTCTGCAATGGGACTGGGACGACTGATCTGTGTAAAGGAAAGAATGAATGGGGCCACATATCGTCGGCTCCTGAGTGAAAACCTACTTCCATCAGCAAGGTAATTGAAGACGAAACGTGGCTGGCTCTGTCAGCAGGACAATGATCCCAAACACGTCACCTGCATAGCGAAGGAGTGGCTTTGTAAGAAGCATTTCAAGGACCTGGAGTGGCCTAGCCCCTCTCCAGATATCAACCCCACAGAACATCTTGGGAGGGAGTTGAAAGTATGTGTTGCCCGGCAACAGTCCCAAACATCACTGCTCAAGAGAAGACCAGCACGAAGGAATGGGCCAAAATACCTGCAACAGTGTGTGAAAATCTTGTGAAGTCTTACAGAAAGTTTGACCTCTGTCATTGCCAACAAAGGGTATATAACAAAGTATTGAGACTGACTTTTGTTATTGGCTAAATACTTATTTTCCATTGTAATTTGCAGATAAATTCTTTAAAAATCCAACATTGTGATTTTCTGGAATTTTTTTTCTAATTTTTCTCTCATAATTGATGTATCCCTATGATGAAAATGACAGGCCTCTCTCTTCTTTTCAAGTGGGAGAACTTGCTCAATTGGTTGATCACTAACTACTTTTTTTGTCCCGTTGTATAAGGGTGGATGTCTTTGTCTGCTACCGTTTTGAAAAAAATGGAGCCAAAATGTCTTGTTGGATTACTTGAACTTGGAGCAGTAAGGCAAGAACTGCATAAATATGCAGGAGTCAACACTTGAAACAAGTAATCAGAGTAGAAATTTAGATTTCGATAGTCTGGAAAACATTTTCTTCATATACGTGGATCAGCCAGCCTGTTACTTGTGGTCTGCAATGCTGCATTACCCTAGTCGTTCTAACGCTGAAGGCTTGAAACACCTCTGCTTTGAATTTTTTCTTTTAGTTTTGAGGTGGAATTTGGTGCAGCTTAGATGTTGTGTATCTTAAAGACAGCCGGATGCTTAAACGGTTAATGGACCACGGGTATAAAGCACCTTTTAATCTCATCTTGTTTCTGCAAAGTGCTTTAGAATGACTGTTCATTTTCTCTCACATAAAACTTCAAACAGCATTTTATTTACGGTGATGTGCAAACGTTTTAGGCAGGTGTGAAATGCCAAAGTCATTAGGAACTATCTTCAGCACAAAGAAGAACGATAAGTCATGAACGTGATGATCTGGGCCCCTCAGAGCCCTGGTCTCAGCATCATGGAGTGTGTCTGGGATTAAACAAAGAGACAGAAGGATGTGAGGAAGCCTGCATCCTTAGAAGATCCGTGGTTAGTTCTCTACGATACTTGGAACAACCTACCAGCCTGGTTCCTTCAACGACTGTGTTCAAGTGTAGCTAGAAGAACTGATGCTGTTTTGAAGGCAGAGGATAGTCCCATCAGACACTGATTTGATTCAGATCTCTATTTCATTCACCACTTGTTTTTTTGATTGATGAAAATAAAATATGAACTCTTCCATTTTTGAAAACATTCTTTGTTTACAGCATTTTTCTCACACCTGTCTAAACCTTTTGGGGTGGGAAGTCCCGGTCCTCGAGGGCCACTATCCAGGATGTTTTAGTTGTTTTCCATCTCCAACACACCTGATTCCTGGATGAATGACCTGTTCAGCAGCTCATCGGGCTCTGCAGAAGCCTGTTAATCACCAGCAGATTCAAACCAGGTGCGTTTAAGCAGAGAAACAACTAAAACCTGCTGGATAGCTGCCCTCGAGGACCGGGATTGGCCACCCCTGATTTAACTTGAGTGATTAATGAAAAATGTTATCCACTCAGTGACAGGTGCTTCCTTTCACACCACCTCATGTTTTTTTTTTGTGAAAAGCTTGTAAAAGGGTTGCTGCTGTAGTGTATCATTACAGTTTTCAGCTTCTGGAATCGTAACACTTGTTGGGACATTTTGTGCTGCTTGCTAATATTTCCTACTGTTGGGTTAGGTTTGGCTTTTAAGTAGAAGAGAAGCAGTGGCGGCTCCAGAAATTGTTTTTCTGCAGGTGCTATGAAGGAGCTAGTCTCTTTATTGAGGGTGCTATGAAGGAAGTAGTCATGCGTACCTATAGTTCTCTAAAACACCTTCAACACTAGCAGACACACATGCGTGCACACAACCTCAACAACACCTGAAACAATCATTAATATACATCATAAACATATGAACAATCGCTGACTTTTCCATGAAATCATAAACACATACAGCCACACAGAAAACCATCTATAGTGTTGCAAGGTTAGCTAACGTTAGTGTTAGCATTTCCAGCGGCAAAACCCTGGACTGCTGCTGCAGTTGAGGGTTGACTCTCTTCATCCAGATCCGTAGGTTTTTGTGGGTCTGAGATCACTTCCAAAGATTCATTCGTTTCTGACTGAACCCGTGGAAAAGTGGGCAACAAAAACCGATCCATTTTACCGCTAGCTCTACCTTTCACTCGTTCGCAGGTGAAAAATGTGGTCAAAGGTTAACATCAATTTCCTGTTTTGGTTTAAGTTTTTACTATCTGTATGATAATTTACTGATTATTTTTCTTGTGTATGTTAAAAATTATCACATCCACACATTAAATCAAAATTAAATTGTAAAAAAAAAATCCAATATTTATCTGGGGGTGCAATGACTAATTCAGGGATAGCTATAGCGCCCCCTAGCGCCCCCTGGCTCCGCCACTGAAGAGAAGCCAGTGACTTATTGAGTCAGGCCTCCTTTTTTGTTTCCCAAAAACCAGATTTCCTACTAATCTTCAAAAATAACCTTGAGCTGCTTCTGCTGTTTCTTAGGATTAGTGCAACATTTTAAGGAATTGATCAATTGAATTTTGTTAAATTGTGAGCCCCTTTAATCTACACTGAATAAAGTAAAAAGGGAAGAGAGTTTAAGCATTTCATGTGCACACAACCCCTTGTATGGTGCTCCTAAGGGGACCTTGTTTTCTCATGCATGCAAGATACGTTCTTGTGAACATTCACGTGCTTGAGAAATTTCTGGTGCCCACTAAAGCCTGAGTCATGCTTCTCCATCAGCTCCAACATGGAGAAACACGCACGCATGGACGGAGACATTTTGCCCTCAGACTTCTCCGTCTCCCGGGGAGCGTTGCAAAGCAATTCCCCGCCAGGACAGCAGAGGGTGTCGCACTGTTCTGTGGTATCCTGTCATGGATCCAGTCCAAGACAGTGTTCATTTTGTGTTTTTTGTATATAAGAGACTTTTGAACACAGATAAATTTGTCTCTCATTCTCCTCCATCGCTTCATGCGATCGCCACCTCTAAACCAAATTTCTGTCCACAAATAAATCGCTTGCTGTGTCTTCTTTTCACTCCTCCAGTCATGGGGGAATTAAACGTTCATGTTTTTAGAGTTTTTTCGCGAGGTATTCTTCAACCTTCTCTGTGTCTGCCACTAGATATCCTTGACTCTCTTTATGTTTTTGAGGGCACAATGGCGGCGGTGTAGATGACAGTGGTGCCCTGACCAATCACAAGCTTGCGTTCTCCGTCTCGATGGACGGATGTTTGGAAAAGAGAGCTGGACTCCATCCGTCCTTTCGAGGGCTCTCCAGCAGGCTCGCAAGGACGGATAATAGCGTTGCGTGCCTCAGTACTGACGCAGAAGCAGGACTCAGGCTTTACTTGCTGCGTTTGTGTCTTTACAGCAATCCCCATACTTAGCAAGCATGTTGCAGCAGTGGAGAGGAAAACTCCCCTTTACCAGGAAGAAGCTTCTAGAAGATCCTGGCAGCCATCTGCCATGGATCACTCATGTGTGACAATTATTGCATTGGGCGACGGTGGTACAGGAGTTAAGTGCTCGCCCCGTAATCAGAAGGTTGCAGGTTTGAGCCCCGCTCAGTCTGTCACTGTCTTTGTGTCATTGGGCAAGACACTTAACCCACCTTGCCTGCTAGTGGTGGTCGGAGGGACCGGTGGCACCAGTACTTGGCAGCCTCGCCTCTGTCAGTGCGTCCCAGGACAGCTGTGGCTACATCGTAGCTAATCCCCACCAGCGTGTGAATGTGTGTGTGAATGGGTGAATGACTGATTGTTCTGTAAAGTGCCTTGGGGGGTTCCAGGGCTCTGGAAGGTGCTATATCAAATACAGGCCATTTTACCATTACTGTATGTGTACAGCACATTTATTTTTGAGTCAACCTGAATAAAAGATGGATAACAAAAAATTTGCTAACAAAAAATGATTATTACTAAACTAATTTTACACACAATGAGCCACAATGTGCTGTCCTGACAGATTCTGAGTTCTTGAATATCACAGGAGATCATGCTTAACATTGTTATCACTGTATGACCAAAACTCGCCATGAATGTCAGACCTTTGATTTACTTTTGTTCTCTAATCTCCAGTAGATGACTGACAGTACGCGCTGAGCATATTTGCACAAAGGATTGAATGTTCTTGAGGATAAATTAGGAAAAGTTGCAATTCAACCCAAAAACGAGCCGACAGCAGAAGAAAAAGAAGACCCAGATGTCTTTGCACCCATTTACTTTCAACTGCCTTTCTGCAGATACGCTGGTGATGTTTTTATGTGTGAGGCGAGTGGTCTTCCACACTGTCCTTGACTTTTTCCTGGCTCTGTGGGACTCAGATGGGAGACAATTACAGTGCTGTGACATAATGAGTTGGTTTTTCATGTTCAGCAGAGCTTCAGTCCCCCTCCTGGAAGGATGTCTATGGAAATTCGATGAAGTTAAGTGTGTGGGCATCTTATAGCTGTAGATCAATGGATTTGTTCAGAGTGAAGTGTGTGTGGTCTGTTTAAGCTCAGCAGGGTGTAACGACTTAACACTTAATGGTCTTATTATTTTCTACATCTTTAATCCACCGAGTGCCGGGCCGGTTTCAGGGTCGAGGCAGACCAACAGCATCTCAGTCTGAGCATTGATATATTTTCCCACTCCTAGATGTCTCTTTCAAATGTTTGTCCTCTTGTATTCTCAAAGCCCTTTTGCTAATTCAGCCCTATATTTTGCAAACCCATCTTTCTGTGGCAGCACCACTCTTCTGGGTTATTTAGTTCTTCTGACAGTTTCAAGATAAATATTTTTGTGCTGGTCGTTTTTTTTAAGACCTCTGAGAGTGGCAACTCCATCCAATCACCTTGTTCTATATTTGGATGCTTTTGAACTGAATGTCTGAAAGCAGCTTGCGCTGCTGCTGCTGCAATTTTTAACAATCAGATTTTCTCCTTGAGTGGTCAGAATCACTTTATTTTCTGACATGTGCAATTTGTTTGACAAATCTTTTATTTTTTGTGTGCATGAAGGGTTATGACCATCTCTGTTCTCCATTCCCATGCTGTGCTCCATTTTAGCAATTACGCAATGAACGAACAAAATGTCATCTGTTGGCGCTTTCATCTTCTCCCCCAACGGTTCCAGTATTGAGTCATTTGTTGCTTTCTGTCCTTTTAGCGATGGAAGAGCTGGATGGAGACGAAGTGAGAGTTTCCTCCAGAGGACGTCTCGCTGAGAGAGACATTGTTCAGGTACTCTTCGTGATTTTATGGAAATTTGCAGGGTTAGACTCGAGCGCTTCTCCGTGAACAGCACTGGCATGGGGGATGTGTACGCCTGGAGGAGGATGGGTCACACTTACACACACTGGAGACAGATCTTCCTAGAGAGGAATAAATAGGCATATAGTTGGGGTTTTGCTGAAATTTAAAAGACAACAGCTCTGGTTTTACTTTTACTCACCGTTGGAACATCAACATCTCAGAAAAAGTGATGCAGCCCGGTGTGATCTGAAGCCACTCTCACATGAAGAAATACCAGCAGCCTCATACACAGACAACAGAAAGTAATACATCACATTTCTGACATTTAAGCTTTTGCTAGGGAACAAAATGTAAATATAACATTATTCATTTTGACTCATTATTTTAAGAAGTATAGGGACATTCTGGGGTGTTTGTCCATCATATCAACACGATGTTCACGGTAAAGCTACTTGTGTTACAGCACATCACAGCCTTACTTGACTGCTATTTGCAAGTTCATCTGTTTTAATCTTCTAATTAAATAATGCATCTGGTCCTCTGGGTTGTTTTTACTGGCCAAGCAGTTCCAGCGTCTATGTGTGTGGTTGTTCGCATTATAATTTAAATACGAGCCCTGATGTGGCCCGCATGTGTAGAACACTCAGCACGTTGTGTTTACTGATGCAAAATGTGAGCTCGACACCTCCAAGTATGACATCTGTCTCAGTTCAGTAAAAGTCACATGAAATCCAACGTGGTCTTTTATTTTGGGACAGGTGTCACAAAAACCTTTAAACCATTCCTGTCTAACCGCTGGAACTGCGAGTGTCTCACGCTCGATGTTTTTGTACCACGTAGGTAAAAGTATTCATGGGCTTAGGCTTTGTATGGATTCGATGTTTTCAATATTGCCCATCAGCCAAAATTTTTTTTTGAAAGCCGATAAAATAAATAAATAAATCTAATCAGGCACTTGTGTGGCCAACTGCCGCCACTACTAGACTGAAGAAAGGACCCCAACACACAATTTTTAAATGTTTAGAGTTTGTTTAAATTTGAAATTCAGTAAATATTAAGAGAATTGTTGACTTGTTTAATTGATATTGCACACAGTGAGTGTTCAGTGGTCTTTGAAATTCAATGTGCTGCTTAAACGTATGTGTATATATATATATCGGCCATCAGCAACAAAATCCTTTAAAAATCAGTCGGCCTCTAGTTTTTAGTGACCTCTGACCTTTGCATATTATGCATATTTTAACGTGGCGGTCACCTGCTGAAACAATTTGAAAGAGCCATGAATGATATTTTTTGCAAAAAGCAAAACATTTTCTACCATGAAGTTTAGACAGTCACTCCGCTCAGGAAAATAAACCAACATAATTTATCAGAAAATTATTAGAGAACCTTTAATTATTAGGACTCATTAAGAAGCACCAGAAACATTAGAAAGCATCTGAAAATATGTCTAAATATGTAATGATTAAAACAAGTCAGTGATAGGATATGTTATTGCAAACCCTGCAGCTTTGAAAGACATCACATATGGTCCAAATGAGGTTCACCTTTGCTTGGTAAACCTCAACCTGATCATCACTTGGGTAATTGTTTTAAATGATAAACGTGTTTCATGTCTTTTTCACGGACAAGCCCCCAAATTAAAAATGGAGAATCTGCTCCATTTTAATTAACGTATTTTCTTCAGCACTGACTTGTAAACGACATACTGCAAGAACACTTATTGCTTGTAAACTATCATCAGAAACTCTGATCAAAACTCTTTTGGGGCCTAATTTGTTAAGCTTGCTCACGCGCAAGGTGGGGTCGGAAAACTGCGCAAGTTCATTTTTTGAAGACAGCCTGACTGGAAAATGTGCGCAGTTTTAAGCAAACGCCTGTCCTAATATGAGTACATTTTGGGCTCAGAGAAAGTAGTTATGGTGCTGGCGAGAGTTTAAGCTCCATTTTCAGACTTGTAGAGCCTCATTCACACACACACACATGCACGCACGCACACACACACACACACACACACACACACCAGTCAGTCTCAGTAAATTTACATTCTCTAGGCACCTTGATTGCAATATTGCAGATCTGCTGACATATGTTTCTAGAACTGATGAGATTTATAAAGCAAGAATTGTGTGCAGCCATGCCTACTAAGTGTTTTATAGGTCCAAAAATCTCTCTGCTTGAGTAAATTTGTTGCTTGGCTCAAAATGTCACAAATGGGTCTTGAGCTTCCAGTTGGAGTAGTATTAGTACTTTTGTCAGACATCTGTTATAGCCACTCCTATACAGCTCACACTGTCTGTTGGATGATCTGTTCTGTTATTTATCTCTTATATTTGTTAAACAATTATAATGGGAGCTACACCCAACAAGGATCCATTAACACCAGCTAGTAATCTTAAAACAGCCAACAATCAAATAATTAGTGTTTCTCAAAAATCCTAATTTGACCATGGACTGGTTTTAAAAACACACAAACTGCTATTTACCTGCACAGGATCAAGCTGCTCTTTATTCCAGAGTCAACATTATTGCACGTCATGGCGATGACAACATTTACATATGTTTTGGATGTATATCATCAACACCAAGGAACTGTAACAACAGCTGTCTACATTTATCTTCACCCAACTTTTATTTATTTATTTAATTTTATGAAACAGCACAACTCTGCAGTAACAGCAAAAGGAAAAAGTTCTCCAAATCCAAATTCCTCACCTGATGTTACAGTGATAACTCCAGTATCAGCTGCCAGCAGCTGGCAAAAACTCTGACAAGTAAGCACTAAGTAAGTAAAAGTGAAGTCAGGGAGAACTGTGAAAGTCTGCTTCCTCTGCACAAAAAGTCTTCGTACCTAATTGACCTGATCCACCCGGCTATGACTTTTTTTCAAGCAGCAAATCATTTTAAATACGTTGCATTATCTATTTCAAATCTTAAAGAAGCAATATGTACAAACTCTACAGTGAAATAATCCCTATATGTCTTAATCATGTTGATAGGAATGTTACATTGAAACAGATTTCATTCTCAGCTGGCTGGGGAGTTGTCAGTTTGTCTCCTTTAAAAAACACAAAATAGGGTTGCTGACTCTCCGACAAGCTAACGCTGCAGCGCCAGCATTTGTAATTAAAGAAAGAAAAAAGGAAAGAAAAAAATCTCTGTTATAGCGCCTCTCAACATAAAAATCACGAGGCGCTTCACAAGAACAAAAAAAATTTTATTATAAGAAAGGTTTCAAAAAATGATCAAAAACACACTTAAAATAAGAAAGAATAGACAATTATGATTCAAAAATGCAAAGAAAGAGAGAGTAAATAGGAAGGAGGGAAATCTGTGAATCCTGGAGAAGGCAGAATAATGGGCTCGACACACGGGAGGCGACATCGCCTCTCCTCCATTCATTTTCAATGAGACATGCGCTACAAAGCGATAATCGCGGGTCTCCCTCCTACTAAGGGAAACGCGAAAAACGTGCTTGTGAAATTTTGAGCTCGTGCACGTGTCGTGCACAGGCGACCCAGCGAAGCGATCCCAGAAAGTTGAAATATTTTCTACTTTTCATCGCTGTCGCTCGGACGAGGACCAATCAACGGAGGTTTCATTCACTGACCCATGAGCGGACAGGATGCTCCGTACATCTCTGAGCAAACATGAAGGAGAAGTTGATTATTATTGTGTTTTATAAAGTAAAATCAGAAGTAAGATTTCACATAACTCTAGCAGCACCTTGTGAAACATATGTACCACTTTTTTTTAACTCCGAACCGCTTAAATAACCTTAATTCCCTCCAACCTGACACGGCCAAGCAAAACAACGGAAGTTTCGATTTTGCCATGGAACAGAACGCGTAGACGGCTTTGGTGTGTTTTTGCTGTGTTGAAATTCTAATTCCATCTTTTAGTTATTTTTAAAACACAGAAAGGTTTTATTTACCTGCAACGTTTCAAAACGTTTTTTTAACAATTAGCAACAAAGTTTGTGTTATTTTATTGCTTCTCTCATAGGCTGCGATGCATGTGTGTTTATAGTAAGTACATTTTATTTATCACAGACATAGAGTCAGATCAAAGCAAAATAAAACAAAGTCATAAAATCATAATGACCTCAAAGCAGAAATAGATTAACATCAGAAAAAATTAAGTCATAAAATTTCATTAACAGATGAAAGATTAAAAATTTGAGGTAAAAATAAGAAAAATAAAAGATTTAGGTAAAAGCAGCTTTAAATAAAAGGGTCTTCAGCTGTTTTTTTAAAAGTGTCCAGACTGTCGATGCTGCGTAAGGATAAAGGAAGATCATTCCAAAGTCAGGGTGCAACAGTCTGTAAGGAGCGACCACCTCGACTTTTATATCTGGTCTTTGGAACTTCTAGAAGGTTCTGGTGTGTGGACCTGAGGGCTCGGGTTGGAGCATAAGGCTTTAACAGTTCAGTAATATAGGGAGGAGCTTGATCATGTAGAGTCCTGAAAGTTATAATCAGGATTCTAAACGGGTAACCAGTGCAGAGACGGCAGAATAGGAGTGATGTGTGCTCTTCTGTTTGCTCCAGTCAGGAGCCTTGCTGCAGCATTCTGGACCAACTGAAGGCGGTCAAGGGCTTTTCTGTTAAAACATGTGAAAAGTGTCTAACTGTAATCTATTCGGGAGGAGATAAAGGCAGGTGTGCAAAAAAAAAGTCCTCATTCCAGGCCGAGTCTAAAGTTCGTCTGTTCATTACTAAACTCAGCCCAGAGTGCAGCTATTTCTAAAACCTTTTTTCTCAGTGAGTTTTATTAAGAAAGAGCCGTAACCTCTTATGAGTGATAAAACTACATCTGGCAGTAGTTGTTTTAGAGCCTTTTAGAGATATGAGAACATAAACAGGAAGCAAACAGTGGCCTCCGATACCAACGTTCTGTTTAATATTCAGATGGCAGTGGGGAAGGCTGGCCTGTCAGCTTGCAGCGAGTGGAGTACGATGATAAATGAGCACTTACAGTGATAAATG